TTTCTTAAGGAAGAAAAAATGTTTTAGGAAATACTTTTAAAAATTCTTTGCTGTTAAACATTTATAAAATATCTTAAGAAGAAAATTCACCGTAGGCTAATCATTTTGACTTCAACTGTATATATATAACACACAGAAGAGCAACAAGTCTCCCTTACAATACCGATAAACCTGAAGCTTCGGCTCACCTGGAAACATTGCACTCAAAGTCCATGCCATCGTAAAGCGAGTCCACGAAACAGTTTGCACTGCCTAGCGTTGAGAGTGTGTGTTTGGCCACATCCGCGCTGTTCATCAGCTTCATCATCGCCCGCGCGTTACCACTCACATCCTGCTTAAAAGTCCTGCAGGGCGAAAGAGGAGCTCACAATCAAACAACCTTTATTTATACAGCACCTTACTACAACCAAAGTGCTTTAAACCAGTCAAAACCAAAAATACAACACAACTAAAAAGCAAATGATGCAAAAACAATACAAGAAATATCAATAAGAAACAGCAAAACAATCATTTTACATTATGAAACACTCTCTCTTTGTGTTTCGGAAAAGTCAAACTTTAAATAAAAAAGCACATTTCAAAGGAAACTTGTTTGTCAAATATGAGGAACAAACTAACAAATTCAAAATGAACAATAACACATTTACAACATTTAATAACACACTGACTTCTTAAACTCTGCGGCGAGGTGTTGAGCGAGCTCCTGTGTGAAGCTCTCTCCTCCAGTCTGGTGGTCCGTCTGTGTGGCGAGAACACGGTAAACTCCGCTGTTCACCTCCAGCACGGTGACGCTGAGGGATGTGCCTCCCAGTTTATACACCAGAACATGACTGTGATGGAAGATGTAAAAGAGCATGAGGATTCGGAGGAGCTAAAGCACTGCTTATTACCAATCTGTTGTCCATATAACTTGTATTTAGGCCTGTCACAATAATCCATATATCGACTTACCGCACAACACATGGACATGACCTCAATTATTTTTGAAATATATATATCGCCCACACATAAAAACCAATTCTAGCAACATTTTGGCTGAATGTGCAACATCTCTATCTCTATTGGATGTGTCAGAATTGTTTTAAAAAAACACTAGTATTCACTATAATACTAGAGTATATTTTTATGTGGGTGTCTTACGGCTGAAAATAGATCTGGTAGCAGATATCGCAGCCTCTGTTACATTTTGAATCACACTTTTTTGTTAACATTTATTATTATTTATTTAAGATATGCGTCTTTACATTCTAATTCCAGTGCCTCATTATTAAATGACTATGATTAAATGAAATACTCTTTACTCTTATGTGGTTCCTCTGAAGATTGTACTTACATTACGATGCTATCATATTGTCATTCTGGCATTATATATATTATAAATGGTCTTAAAATGACAATAATTTTGTTTATTGTAATATATTTTGGTGCAGTATTGACCTTATTCTCCGCAGACAAGGGGGCGCTGCCATTTGAATCTTTTTGGCACGAGACTTCCGGTCTCATTCACTTCCATTCATTTTTAGACATTAAAAACTGCTCGTTTCGCTGTTTGATGTTGCAAACTGATATTTCCTTGTTATGTTATTCTACTTGGTCTGTATAGTCATGCAAACATTTGTTTGTAGAGCAAGTAGTTTGACCGTTTTTTGTTTATTATTCCTTGTCATTTCTCCCATAGGTGACTGAAATGGAAGTTCTAAGACAATCGCGAAAACAGGCACACTTCCGCATTTTAGAATAAGGTCAATACCGTACAACAAAAAACAGATATCATGACAAGCCTACTTGTATCACCTGCTATTAATTTACCAGTGATTTGATTCCTTTATATCAGGAGTCACCAATCTTGGTACTGGAGGGCCGGTGTCCCTGCTGGTTTTAGCTCCAACTTGTCTCAACACACCTGCCTGGGTGTTTCAAGTATACCCAAGTCCCTGATTAGCTTGGTTAGGTGTGTTTGATTAGGGTTGCAGCTAAAATCTACAGAACACCAGACCTTTAGGAACAAGTTTGTTGACCCCTGCTTTATATTGTATGTACATGCATTTCTTTATATACTTTTATATAATTCTTCAAGTTTTATTTAGTTTTTGTTAATACATGTTAAAAGTTTTTTTTTAATTAATCAAGACGAAAAAAAAAAAAACAGTTCATCCAAGAGATTACAAAAACTCTACCTTTTCCCCAGCGGTGAGTCCTGGCCGATGTCGTAAGCTAGAAGAGCAGCGGAGGGTTCGTGAATCAGCCGTAACACATTGAAGCCGGCACTTTCTGCAGCTTGCCTACAAAACACAACAGTCTTTAATAATGTTTTCTTTTAAATTAGCTATATTATGCATGACAAGCATGGGCGTAAATCTAAGGGGAGGGACGGAGGGGACACAAAAACAAAACAATTCTAAAACAAAACTTACAAAAATATATATTAATAATAAATAATAATAATAAAAGCACTCTCTATAGTGAAAAATATAAGTAAACCTAAAATATTTGTGTGGAAAAAAAAAAAAAAACACTAAAATGCATTTAGAAACAGTGGAACCCCCCCCCCCCCCCCCCTTCCTCACAGTGCCTGCTTTGCCAGTTCATCTCACCTATTCTACAAACATCAGTCAGCTGTGTGGCTGCAGCTTAATTCATGTTGAACTCCAGTGAGTAGGGTATTGTATTCACTTTAAATAAAGCGATTCTCTTTAATGCAGACTCATTCATGAATTAGTTGCGGCAAAAACGCTGATTACTAATGTAATTTTGCATGAATTTGCTATGTTAGCAATTAAAGTATTACTTACTTAGCTCGTTTACAATAGCTTGTTGCATAGTGCACTGCAACCAACATGCCAAAGCCATTTGCCATGCATTATTTGTGACGACTTGGCATAATGTTAACTTAACATTAACAGCCACAATTGGCATATTGTTTAGCTGTGCATGAGCACTGTACTATTTGTGTCCCTTTCAAAAAATCCTCATGAGAAATTGTATATTTATTGTCCTCCCCTATTGTGTGTAGTTTGCATGTTCTCCCCATGTTCGTGTGGGTTTCCTCCGGGTGCTCAGATTTCCCCCACAAGTCTAAAGACGTGGTATAGGTGAATTAGGTGAGCTAAATTGGCCGTAGTGTGTGTGAATAAGAGTGTATGGGTGTTTCCCAGTGAAAGGTTGCAGCTGGAATGGCATCCACTGCATAAAACATGTGCTGGATAAGTTGGCGGTTCATTCCGCTGTGGGGACTCCCGATTAAAAAAGGGACTGAGCCGAAAAGAAAATGAAATGTTGAACGAAATTTACGCCCATGGAGAGTTTTTCAGCCATCTATAAACTTCCAGTGAAAGGATGATAATATACCTGAGTGCATTCTTCTGCATCTCGTCAAACTCAAAAGGCACAGTTATGACAGCATCTTTCACGTCCGAACCCAAGGCTGACTGGGCCGTTTCTGCAGGGAACATGAAATGATCATCAGTGGCTCACGTCAGGCAAACTATGAAAAGGAATAAAGGATTCAGACGGTACCTTTCATTTTATGGAAGATCAATTTAGCGACGTCTTCAGGGGACACATATTTGGTCGTCTCTCCGGTGTCGATTTCATATCTGGGAAGGCCACTCTTGTTGACAACCTAAGAATGAGTTAGAAAATACTAGAAATGATCGAACGTTGTAGTATTTTCCAGCCTCTTTTATTTAACATTTTTCAACTAAACCATGCATTTCATCTCTTCCAGGTCAAAACATAATCAAATACTTGATGAGGGTTAAAAACAGCATGTACTTACTATGCATTTGCTTTCCTCTTTGTGTGCTTGTGCATCTGGGTCATCATAGCTGTCAAGTAAAAGCCGTTGTTTTATAATATATATCAATTGCTATTAATTCGATTGTAACTATGTAATGCAGTGATTTATCTAGAACATATTATGAAACAGCTCAACTATTGCATGCTTTGGTGAATATGAAAATATCCTCAATTGTTTTTATGGAGCAAGCATAAACATGCACCTACCGTCTACCCAGGATCTGCTTCACTTTAACAACGGTGTTGGCAGCATTTCGTATTCTGCCCTGCTTTGCAGCGATTCCCACTATCTGGAAGATAAATGAAATAAAAGCATCCGACCAGAACAAGCACTGACTCTTTTACTTGATTTCTATTTAAATTAATTGTAAAATTTACATAAATGTTTTTAATAATTAAAAAAAGTTATTTTGTTACATGATTATTGCTAGTTAGTTAAGCTATTGCATACAATAGCATTCAATTAAACTAAACAGAGACTTTATAATTGATCTGTGATGTGCTTTCCTATTAGAGAAGGAGTCAGAAGGTATTATGTTTATAATATTATACATTTAACTCACATGGAAAATAAGAAGAGGTGTAAGGCAAAAACATACAAACAAAAAACACAGACACGATTGTTTTTATTTCTCATTTCACATCAGTTATTAATCTGAATGCTCTGTTTTGGTGATGAACTGTGTAGTCATTAAAATGAATGAATGAATGAATGAATGTCACATCTGTCCATGTGCATGCTGGCTAAATTACCTGTTCAGTGTCTCTGTAGGCCACCACAGCTGGAGTGACTCTGTCTCCTGCGTCATTGGCTACAACATCTGCTCGTCCATCCTAATGTGAAAACATTTATTAAAGTACGTTTGTGTATCTGCTGTTTTGTCTGCCTCCCCGTCTTATTCTGCACCACAAATGACTTCTATGTGACATTTAATTAGGTTGCTTACATATCTGCGCCTATTAAGAGACGCAAAATTATTAATACTTGTAAATAATTCACCTTAAACACAGCGACACAGGCACATGTGTATCCAAAGTGCACTCCGATGGCAGCCATGCTTCCGATGAACTCAACCGGAAGCCGGTGTGCGTATGCAAATGAGAGGGTGGATTTTAAGACAGGCAGTGCTGTTAGCCAATCAGCGCGCAACTGAAATGACGGCATCGGAAACGCCTGATTTAGAAACCGATGAGCGACGCAAGAGGGCGTTGCATACTGGGTGATGAAGTTCCCTTGGAAGTGCGCACGAGCGCATTTTAAGCGCACAAAATCATGTCTTTAACCAGCTCCTTTTCCACCCCGTTGCTTTTGCTTTTATGTGTTGTTTTATTGACAGTTACTGACGCAGAAGAGTGCGAAGGTGAGGTTGGTCGGCTTGTTTTTTTAAAGCGCATGAGCCACCGAGTTTAAAAATAGTCACCTGAAGTATGCTGGGTTATTTTGCACAAGTGCATGAGTGATTTCACATGGTGAATGTAAGATATTCACTGAATGAAGCCATTATTTTGCAGGCAAGTCCAGTTGCTTTTGGCTCGCACTCTGAAAACATTTTATCAGTATTTATTTTACTATAATATTACAAAAAAATCTATATTTAGAAAAGTGTGTATGACAATAAATAATATATAATATAAGCATCTTTAAAATCATATAAAAAATTATATATGTATATAATAGTCTACTTACATCTACACACATAGCTTATGTTCTGCAGAATCATTACTAATGCTATTATTATATAACTAATCCACGAAATCAGCCCTCCAGTATAAACCGCGGTTTAATAATTATGTGTGTGTGTGTGTTTTCAGTGTGTGTGGGGTTTTTGGGACGCCTTTATAACTCACTGGTGATCAGACACACAGAACTGTCCCCAGAGCTGGTGGAGGAGGGCCTGATCAGAGCCTGCGCTGAGACTACTGGGAAAGAGAATCGGCTTGTAAGAAGATAAAAACATGCACAGTTTGAATCTTATTCACCATTTGTTGATGGTACGTGCAGTATGGTGAACATGGGGTCTTGTAATTCTGTCTCCTTTCACCTCAGTGTTACTACCTGGGAGCTTCCAGTGATTCTGCAGCCAAAGTGACCGGTGAGGTGATTCGCCCCCTCAGTGCACATGTTCCTGTCCACAAAATCTGCCAGAGGCTTCAGCGCAGGGACGGCCAGATCTGTGAGCTCAGATATGGTAGGGTGAACTTACATGTAAAGATCTGTTAAAAGAGGCCATATGATGCTTTATGATGTCTTCCTTTTCTTGTAATGTGTACATTTATCAATTTGTGCCTCCTATCAAAGAACACTGCTCCAGACCTGCATAAAACAGTCCATATAAAAAAATAAGAGATTTAGAAATGAGCAAAACATACTGCTCAAAGGCAAACACACAAAAGAGGCAAAATTGCTATGTTGTAGAGATATTTTTAAGGTCACACTTTACAATAAGGTTAATGTTAATTAATGCATTTACTAAAATGAACAAACAATGAACAATACATTTACTACTGTATTTGTTCATGTTAGTTAAAGTTAGTTAATGAAAAGACAGTAATTCATTGTTAGTTCATGTTAACTCATAGTGCATTAACTTATGTGAACAAGCATGGACTTGGATGTTAATAATGCATTAGTAAATGTTCAATTATGATTAATAAATGCTGTACATGTGTTGTTAATGATTAGTTCATGTTAGTAAATGCATTAACTAATGAACCTTATTGTAAAGTGTTAACGTTTTTAACTTAAATAAAAAATAAAAAAATAAAAACACTACAGTGAAACTGTTTACAAAGTTTGTTCTGATTGGGCTCAGAGTAATAAACTTTACTAACTCTATTAGAAGCATTTTCATGACGAAAACAGAATTAACAACAGTAAATGTCTCAGGCGATTTGTCCATTTACAGTAATCAAAGACACACTAATGCATTTTGGGAGCTTGAAAACACAAGCCTTAGAAAACTTTGAAAATTTTAAAAGAAACATTATTATATTAATGCGTTTTTGTAAACTACAAAAACCCTGGTTTGGTGAAAACAGTGATGTCATGCGTATGCATATTACGTTTTTGGGCACTGGCAAGTACGTGACGTCCAAAACCATGGATGTTGTGGAATTTGTTGTGAAATACGTTTGATATTTATCACCATCTACTGGCCATGCATAACACAGAAATGCACAGGAAAAAAGTTCTGTTATTAGTACATAGTTGTCCTGCAGTCGTTACTTTATAAATACTAAATAAAAGTCATGATTACAGTAACGGCCCATTCACATTGGGTGTCAGCGTCAACGCTTCCCATTCACTTTTTATATGTGATGTCAAGCGTTGCCGAACTGAATTGTGGGTCTGTCAGTGCCACTTGCAGTGCCTGCAGAAGTTGGGACTTTCTCAAATTCTCAAGCGCCAACAGAAGCGTCAGCCAATCAGATCGCTGTATGCAAATACTCCAGCTCAGACGGTAGCCGATTGCGGACTAATTTCATTGGCTGACGCTGCTATGACAATAGCGCTAACCTTAACCTTAGACACGCCCTCTGTCAAGCGTTGATGCTGAAGCTCTGTGTGATTCGAGCATGAGGCGCATTATACTTTTTAAAACAGACTTTAGGTGATTAGCCAATCACACCGCACTGGGTCAAGCTGTCCAATCAGAGCATTTTCTTAAGTTTGAAAGCATAATTCAGCCAGAAAATTTCAGACACATTGGGAATAGAGGTTCTGATCAAAACTAAAGAGGAGCTGAGACTTTTATTTCAGTATATTGATGTACTTCCAACTGAAATGGAATATTGAGTAGGAGGGCGGAGCTTTCTTTTTGTGCATCGTTCCCTTGTTGCAAACTTTTGCTTGAGATTATGCCTGCTTAACCAAAAAATAAATAAAAATCTTGCCAGTGTTTTTACTTTTAAAATGAACTGAATATTAATTACAAATTAATAACAATGTAGCTTAGCAAAATAAACATACTAAGTTTGGATTTGACAGAGACTTTAGAGTATATGTCAACCCAGTAAACAAAACGATGACCTTTTCAAGTAGCATCATATGGCCTCTTTAACTGTACTAACAATATATTAGGGTTTGAAATATTCAGAAATATTTGTCTACAAACTTTTGAAACATACACATGCTGTTCTCCTATAAATAGAGCGTCTGGTTCTTGACTGGAGCACAGATGCTTTGTCTAAAATGCGAGTGTTGGAGCTGAAGAGAGTCTTGGCCTCATGGGGCGAAGAGTGCAGAGCCTGTCTGGAGAAAAGTGAATTTATCGCCCTCATCCAGGAGGTGGCCCCCAAACACAGCGCTTCAGAGCACAGAGCACACACGGAAGAGTTCTGAGGGCCTCCTTGTGCAGCTCCATGCTGGGGACACAGAGTTCTGAGGAGAGGGCCTCCCTGTGCAGCTCCATGCTGGGAACACACAGGAGGGGCAGCACGTGCAGCTGCGTCCAGGGACACTTTTGAGATCACATCGAGACTCCTAACTTATAATGCTTTTTATAATGTTAATTACAACTAGCCATGTGCAATATCTGCACATTTCCCCAGTGTCTCATTCTCCTTTACCACTGTAAGCATTTTCACCCGCACCCTTAAAATAAATGACTAAGCTTTATTAGTGTCTGTGATTAAGAGGTTGCTTGCAGAGATGCTGGCTATTTTTCTTGTCCAGCAGTTTAATTTGTTAAGGGACACAAGCTTGTGTTAAGACTTTAGGCCACTGTTTCCCAACCTTGTTCCTGGAGGAACACCAACAGTACATATTTTAGATGTCTCCCTTATCTGACGCATTAGCTTGAGATTTTGAGTTTTTTCTAATGTTCTGATGAGTTGACTCAGGTGTGTTTGATTAAGGAGAGGTTGAAAATGTGTACTGTTGGTGTGCCTTCAGGAGCAGGCTGTGGAAACACTGATTTACACAACTTATATTTTAATTTGAACTCCTCGACTGTGTATGAGACTGTTGGTGAGTTGAACAAAGCTCATTAACTTATCCAGATCACATTTTAGTCAGAAATAAAAAGAAATGTAAAAATGGTTTGGTAACACTTTATTTTGATGGTCCCTATTGCACATTTTGTTGACTAAAAGTTGCATTGCAACTACATGCCAATTACTTCTCATTTGAGTATTATTTCTGCTAATACTGCTCCAATACATTTAACTGACTATAAGAAACTTTGCAAGTTAGTCAACTAAACCTAAAACAGTCTACTTATGATTTAATAAGAATTAGTTGGCATGTAGATGCAATGCAACTTAAATTCAACAAAATCTGTTAAAGGGACCATCAAAATAAAGTGATACCAATGTTTTGGATAAATGATAAAAATTAAGCCTTTTTAAGACTATTATTTATGCACTGATATTATGGACAATTTCTTAAATGGATCTCTTTGGTGTAAAGCAACTGTATGAAAACAATTACTGTAACATATAGAGGAATAAAATTATATTGTAAAACTGTAGAGATTAAAAATGACTGGCTAACAAATGGGTAAAAGCCAATAATAGAGAAAAGTATTTCGTCAAAATTATTTAGTGAAATTATTTGGGGTTCCACTTTGATCATTTCATGTCATCAAATGATTCTCGATCCTTTGGTATATAAACCGTTGTTGCAAAGCATAACATTTTAGTGTGTGCCTTCTGTAAATCATTGTAAAAAATGAACGGTTTTTAAAAATAATTTCTTTTAAATATTCATTTTTGTATAACAGTTACTATGAGAACATAAAACATTTACAACAAAGTCGCTCGTTCGAGCCTCGGCTGGGTCAGTTGCTATTTCTGTGTGGAGTTTGCATGTTCTCCCCGTGTTCACGTGGGTTTCCTCCGGGTGCTCCGATATCCCACACAGTCCAAAGACATGTGCTATACGTGAATTAAGCAAAATTGTCCATAGTTTGTATGAGTGTGAATTGTGTATTGGTGTTTCCCAGTGATGAGTTGCAGTTGGAAGGGCATCCACTGCTTGAAACATGTCCTAAATAAGTTGCTGGTTCATTCCGCTGTGGTAATCCCAGAATAATAAATGGACAAAGCCGAAAAGAAAATAAATGAATGAATTTGAAATTTTAGTGGCAGCGAGGTGGCACAGTGGTTTGTGCTGTTGCCTTATAGCAAGAAGGTCGCTGGTTCGAGCCTCAGTTTGGTCGGTTGGCATTTTTGTGTGGAGTTTGAATGTTTTTCCTGTTTTTGTGTGGGTTTCCTCCGGGTGCTCTGGTTTCCCACATAGTCCAAAGACATGTGGTATAGGTGAATTGGGCAAACTAAATTGTCTGTAGTCTATGTGTGTGAATGAGAGTGTATGGGTGTTTCCCAGTGATGGGTTGCAGCGGGAAGGGCATCCACTGTGTGAAATATATGCTGGATAAGTTAGCGGTTCATTCCACTGTGGCGACCAAGCCGAAAAGAAAAAGAATGAATGAATGAAATTTTAGTGTGAAATACAACTTGGGGATTAGTCCTGATTTCACTTGTGTGTGTGTGTGTGTGTGTGTGTGAATCAACTCCAACGATTCAGTTCATTCAGTGTCAGTGTGTAACAAATGCATAGATGCTTGCGTATGACATAATTATATGTCACTATCCTGACCTCTCCTGAGGATCGTATTGTTGTGACACACACACACACACACACACACACACAGATGGAACAAAAGACGCCAACGCAACTGTGCTGATGTTTACATCTGGCGCGTTTCCATGGCGATTACAGAACCTTTCATCCTCAGCTGATGATGCTACCGGATTTTGCTGACAAACTTTTTATGTCATAAAACAGAACCAATCAGCCACAAGAGCATCCATCGGCGGGGCTCGTTCGGTCTCCTCTCATCTCTCTCTCTCTCTCCCACCCCCAGGCTCTCTCATTCACAATCCCCCTTTTTTACCATCCAGTTCTGCTGTTCTCCTGTAATAGCTGTTGAGAGAGAGTGAGAAGAGAGAGAGACTGTGAGTGAGATTCAGGCCTTGCCCACGCAAAGAAGTGGGAGACTGAACCTCTCTCTATACGCTCTCTCTCTCTCTCTCTCACACACACACACAGTCAGTGTATCATGCTTGCACTGTGTGGGCTGAGCTGAGCATTCCTGTCATACAGTAACAGTCTCTCTGCCTCCGCACTCTCTCTCTTTCCCTATCTCTCCCTCTATTTCTCTCTTTCCCTTTCCCTCTATCTCTCCTCTTTTCTCCCTCTCTTCTCTTTCTCACACACATACGTTCCAAATACACACATTAACACACTTATAGACTTTCACAGACCAGAGAAGGACCCTCTGAGAGGAAGTCGAGATGGTGTGGAATGTGTGCCCTGGTTTTATTAGGTAAGTTCTGCGATTTTCCAAAACAGCCGTGTGCGAGCATCTGAATGAGTGTTTGTTGGAGGATGAGAGTCGTTTGTGTCATCTTAAGGCTTTTCCATGTGTCATATTTGGTCTCGCTGCGGATTTCACTACAGGGATTACAGAACACTTTTTCCTGACAGGCAAAATGTGTGTGTGTGTGCGGCTGACTGGATGAGGATGTGTGAATGAGTATGAATTGCGCTCACTCTATATACTGTAGGTCTTCCTCAGGCAAACCGGTTGAATTTTTTTTGCAGGATAGACAAGACGTCGCCTTACCTTCTTTACCTGTCGCTTTCTGACGTCCTAATTTCTGTCGTGACTGAGGCCAATCTATTCAGCCCTAACGCCCACACATTAAACCATCACACTCTCCGTTTTTTTCTCCTTAATTTGCTCCCTTTCCAATCCCCCCCCCCCCCTTTTTTTTCAACATCTCTTTAAACATCTGTGTGGCTCTCCGTGCACGTGCACAGTCTTTCGCACACCCGTCAGGAGATGCCAGAGGATGCTCGCTCCAGATTTATGCGTTTGGCCCTTTAAAAGCAGGCAAAGTTTCCTGGTGAACCATTTTTCTGGTTGCCATAGTGATGAGCGAGGACTTGGAGAGGTGCAGTGGTACTGGGATGCAGTGACAGCTCTTAGCATGTGAATTCTCACACTGAGATATGGAGATGCACTGAGACTCGGAACAGAGACGGTGATGAGGTGAGACGCCCACGAACACACATCGCTATTGCTCACAGCGCTCTTTGGCTGATCAGACTGTTCCTGGATCTGTATACGGAGGTGACAAGAGCCCGAAGGGGGGAGGAAACCATGTGGGGATGAGTGTGAGATAGAGAGGGGATTTATGCGTGTGCAGTGATTAATGTTGGAGAAAGTGTGTGTGTGTGTGTGTGTGTGTTTAGTTACTCGACGCAGAAGTTTTGCATTTGCTGCTTTGAAACTTGACTTCAGAAGAATGCAATTACATGCATATTACAAATGGAGATTTGTAGTGAGTCGCTATTTTGCAGAATAGCACATTAAGAATGAATATTAATTAATGCATTTATAATTTGAATGTTAAGAGAAGTGTTTAAAGATTCTGGAGTTATGTAGCTGCATATTACAAATGAATACTGAATAGTGCATTTAAAGCATGCATGTTTTGCATTCATTGCTCTAATATCACAGATGCTCAGTAATGTGTTAAATAGCAGTCTAGTGTCAGTGTAAAACTAGTCTAGTCTAGTGTAGTTAAAAACTAGGACATTTGCAGTGGACTGAAACTATTTTTGCATAATTATTTTACATGTAGCAGCTCCAGACTGCGATTTACAACAATAAATGAGAGTACATTGAATATTTATACTGTGCTTTAAAAAATATAATACAGGAATATTGAAATGAGCTGCAAAATGCTAAATAATGAATAAATTATAAAAGAAATGGTAGCATCTACAAACGCTGGAGTTTAAAAGGCCACACTGTTATGCAATATGAAATTTCAATTAAAATTTTAGTACTTCAACTGAAGCTGGATCAAATGATCATCAAATTCCAGCTTAATTTTTTTATGATGATTATATAACTTGTATTAAAAAAAAGATCCTTTCTTTCTTTACTATGATAATAAAAATGTTAGTATGATATTTTCACAGTTAAAAATAAATAAATAAACATATGCATATTCAAGGCTTGACATTAACTTTTTTGATCACCAGCAACTGTGGCTAGTAGTTTTCCAATGTTACTAGCCACTCGCCATCTTCACAAGCCATAATTTTGTTGTTGGGAAAATATATTTTATATGTATTGATTTGACTTTAGCATGCTAAAATTACTTGATATAAATTATGTTATGTCCACGTGTCTCCTTACTCTTTTTTTATTTCACATGACTTTTTAGGGCTCAAATTTAAAAAAAAAAGTGTCAAAACAAGCTAAATAGTATAGCTGTAAACAGTACATACATTTTTATTCAACAAAAATGTTCTTAAAAACAACTGACACTTAAAAAATTATTCTCATTGATCTAAAACTATACACAGTAGTTTGTCCAGACTAAAGGTCTCAGATCATCAGGTAACTATAGATAAATGGAGAGTCAATCTCCCATTAAAGCAATGTTATTGTAAAGGATGATAATTAAACCATATCGTATTAACAAAAATAACTGCAAGCAAACGAAAGCTGAAACACATTCTATGTGCGATAGTGAACAGTTGATCACGTGCACATGGTTAACAATAGACCCAGTAATAGTCTGTTCAAAGTATGGTTAAAGTGAAAGCAGCAACAGCTGCTGCATACAAAAAAATCTGTATTATCTCTTGAAAGTAGCAGGACGGTTTTTTCCAATCTATTTTAAAGAGAAATGATCACACCAGTTGTGTTTCCAGGCATGTTTTGCACAAGGAAGCGGGAGCTTTTTAGCACTGGCGCTCTTCACATCAACTGTGCCTGACTCACGTCAGTGAGCGAGGGTCGTCTCACTATACACCTGATCATCCTCTCATTCGGTATCCACCTGCTTATATTTGCTCGTGCAAACAATTATCAGTTGTTCTACCTCTCGATTCTAAGAGCACATTTGCATGGATATAAACAAACGGTTAAAAACTAACATTATAATCTTCAGGGATGAGGCAGCTCTGTCAATTTAAACATTATTTTCGGGTGTTATTGTCAAGCCCTGTGCATATTATTAATTAACCTATTTAATTAAAGCATTAACTATGTTGTCGCATATTAAGAAAGGCAGCAGCCTTGCAACTTCAGTCAAGCTCTTACCCACAGATCCAGACGTCAAGGTGTGTCTTATGTAACAGAGAAGCAGCAAGCTCATGTGATTTCTCCTTGATCTGATGAAATCAAAAGGAAATGAAATCAGGATTTTTTTGCAGCTGTCATCTATCACAGCGCCTTCAAATATCGATGCATTCAGCATTAAAGAACTGTACTCAAACGACTACAATATCAGTGCTATATTGTCGATTCCTGTAATTGTGTTACAGAGGCCCTTCAGCGTGCAGTGGAAATAGAAACGTTACTGTTCTGTAACCGTATGTGTGTGAGAGAGATTTGTAGGAAGGAGTGTGGGTGTCGGTAGCCTTTATTTCTGTTTCACATTCAAGTGTGTGAGGTGAATTTTTGTGCTGCCTGAGGAAAGAGCGGAGTTATCAGGAGCATGCAGCCTTTCCTATACTTCCTGCAAAAACATCCCGAGGAGCCTCGGCCCAAACCAGCCAGGAAGAAGGGCAGGAAGTTGGGCTGAGATCACGGGAAGTAAATTACAAAGCCAGAAGGGGCTTAGTATGAAAACAGGTCCAGTGGAAGCTTCTGGAGACCACAGCCATGCTGCTTTAAAGAAAATGTAGTGTAGCTTCAGACTTGTGTATGTGTGGGAGTAGCGGTGATCCTATATTTAAAATTGATGGGATTATGAAGGTGTTTTGTTTCTTCCTTCAATCCGCACTGCCATCTTTTTAAACATGCTTTAATAAATTCATCTCTTATTTATCCAATCAAACTGCATATAATCTCCTGTTGCTCTATTTTAGCTTTCCAGATATACACTCAGATGGTACATGAGTGGCTTTAGGGGTGCCAGAGATGAAGTACTTAAGTATATAGCCTCACCTGAGGAGACACTGGTGATTGGTTAAGATACTCGAACACTTGTTGCTTATTGGTTTCAGTCAACAAGCGATGCTTTTGGTTGGTCGAGATGCTTTGAGATGGTCTGGAAAACTTCCTGCTGTAATTTCCCCTTTCCTGCTGGTTTTCCTGCTCGGCAATATTCAGCATCAGGGTTGGGCTTCAAGTGTCCTGAAATCTCAGAGCTCAGAGGAAGCGCCAGCACATTCGGGCCCTGCTATTTTACAAACACAAAGTGGAATACCGTCAGAAAAATCACTGGAATAAGGACAAAAAGCTCTGAAAAGTGCCTGCGATTGTACATGAAGCTTCACATGGGAAGTCCAGGTCGAAGGTGAACTCCTCCTTGTTTCCTTCTTACTCAATGTTTGTAGCTCATATGCTTTTAGTTAGGGATATGAACTAATCTCTAAACCCAAATACTGAACCGTGTCACAAACTCTGTTTTTCGCTATGGATAATACCGAAATGTAATGGGAATTGTTAAAGAGAGGTGTGCAATCACACATCTAAGTAATCAGAGCTAAGATTTTGCCAGCCAGATGATAAAACACTTACAACGAGGAAAGGACATCGCCTGAATACTAAACACTAGCCAAGTACAACCAACTGTAGCAACCCACTTAGCCACTTCCTACAAAACATTCAGAACATCTTAACATCACGGGACTGTCAACTTTTAGGTTGTTTGTAACAAGAATACACATTTGGTCCCTATTGCCTTAGACAATCTCTATATCATGTAATAAAGTGATTACTGGTTGTCACAGAGCTTGCTATTTCAGTACTGAGTTGTGCATCAAGTTGTCCTTTCAGATCTCAGTTAAACAAAGTTCCTGATGGCCGTACAGTAAAACGAAGCTGCTATGGATGATACTTACTCTTTACAGGGATTTTCCATCTAATGTTCTCTGTGACAATATCTGTTACGTAATAGGACTTCCCTTCTGTCTCCGTGGACAATAGTCAAGAGTGTCTGAAATGTTTTAGCTTGTGTGTGATTGCATTGGAATGAGTGAGTAGGTGGACGGCTACATGTGGCCGGCTGTGATAATAGTATGGTAAAAGAATGAGTGTGTGATGCTGCATATATTCCTTTCCCTTGAGACTTAGTGTGACTGAGGATGTAGATGGTTATTTATCCTTTTGATGGGTGCAAAATTAATTGTTTTACTTACAATCAATAAAGCATCCTCTTGATGTGGACCATGTGATGATGAAAATGTGTGTGAATGGACAAACCAGCAGGTCGACCACATTGTAAAACATCTGAAATGTTGTTTTTGGTCAATCCATAACGGCGAAACCATTTCAGAATTAGTGTTATTATACTATTAATTACCTCTATAATAGTCAAGAGCGTCTGTGCTACGCGTCTCATGTCTTCAAACACCACCACACGTTTCATTGTATGTCGGTATTGTCTTCTGAGGCGCAAGTAATTTATTAAATAAAGAAAAGATTCACGCAGCTTCTCCTACTACAGCAAATGCTGTTTTTACTTTTGATATTTGATGCCAGTTAATCAGGAAGTGATGATTTTGTTCACTTTGACTACTTGGATGGAAACAATGCTTTATTATGTGACATTCCAGTTTTGCAAATACATTTAATTCACATCTTTGGATGGAAACATAGCTAATGTCTGAGGTCAGAGAAGAATATCACGACTGCTTGAAGCTAACAGGGAGACAAAAGCATCTTAAATGATCACTTTATAACGAACGTGTGAGCATCAAGTCAAACCTTGAAGCAGATGAGCAACAGCAGCAGATGATCACACTGAACCCTCTCTTGACCGTGTCCATCTGTAGTCTGGTGGATTGAAATGCCTCATTTTCTGAGGTCAGAGAAGAATATCACGACTGTTTGAAGTTAACAGGCAGACAAAAGTATCTTAAATGACATCTCTTCATAACGAAGGTGTGCAGAAGAGCATCTTTGAACACATAAGTCAAACCTTGAAGCAGATGAGCTACAGCAGCAGAAGATCACACCGAGACCTCTCTTGTCAGAAACAAGAAAATGAGACTACAATTTACATAGGCTCACCAAAACTGGACAACATAAGATTGGAAAGGACTGGTTCGATCAGATGATTCTTAATTTTTCAATCAGAAAGTACTAATCCATTCTTCTTTTGTTCCAATCGTTCGGGATCCTTTTGGTGATATAAAAGTGTGAAGAATAATTTCTTCGTACAAAATTGGAAAATGTAATAAGACTGGCCTGGTTTGGTGATTTACAATTCATGCTGCACCATTCAAATAGTACGGTGAGAAAGAGAAAGATTGGATCCAACCTGATTTGTACCAACAGTCCAAGTTGTTGCTGGTGGTGTAATGGGATGGGGAGATTCTGTTGCCATATTTTGAGCTTCTTGTTCTCAACTGAGCATAGTTTAAACACCATAGTCTACCTGATAATTGTTGCTGATCATGTCCATCTTTTTATGATAAGAGTGGAATCATGTAATGGCTACTTTCTCCAGGATATCATGTCATCTTACAAAGCTCAAGTAATGTAATGGAGTATCTTTGGACTGTGGTAAAAATGGAGATTTGAATCAATCATGTGTGGGAAACAAATCTGCAGATGATATCCTGTCATGCTGCATCTTTGCTGCAAAAAATTAAGGCCGTTTCTTTATTCAGAGGGTTAAGTATTTGAAATGGGTGTCAAGTTGAGTTGAGTGCTGGTGGTTTGTTGCTGGTGATGCTGTAGGAGGAGGACCGGCTGTAAGTGTGTGTGTGTGTGTGAGATTTTGCACAGCTGTCTCAATAGAGGAAGTGGTAGCACACCAGAACAAGCAAAGTGCTGAGTTTCCATGGCAACTTGGGATGCAGGGTTCCCTCATTTTCCATTATTCCCAAGTGGATCTGCTTCACAGTGTCCATGGCAACCACTCACAACCAATGGATTTCCTCTCTCTCTCTTTCTCATCTCTGTCAAACTCTCTTATCCTGTCATTTGATCTTGTTATTTGTGGAAAAATGTCATCTCCATGCTTACGTAAAGACGTCATTACCTGTCACAGTATGGCATTATTAACCACAAAAGCTTGTGAGTGTGTGTTATAACACAGCTCTGCGCATATATATATGGGTCTTGCTTGTATACAGGTGAATCAGATATTAGACCTTACAAGACCACCATAAACCAGTAGGTTAGAATGAGTCTGACTGAAACTGCAGGTATATGTTGTTTTGTAGGGTTGTGAGGCCGGCGTGTTGAGCAGAACGCACACACACTCTCACACACACACTCTCTCCCGGAGCATGCCTATCAGTCCACCTGCCGACGGCAAACATGAGGCTCTCGACCGGCCGTGGCAACAACACGCCCCTACCAACGGTAACCACGGAGATGACAGTATTCGGACCTCTCCTGGGAGTAAATGTGGCTCCGAACCTATCGAGGATCTCCACGGAAACGCAGTTGTCATCCGCATCGGAATCCCTGATCTGCAGCAAACGGTGAGTGCTCTTTTTACTGTGCTCTCATATGCATATGCAGGCTCATTCTCGCCTTTGAAATGGCTGCACTGCAGCACAGGAGTAGAGAGTGGCAGTGATTGGTACAGACCGAGTTGTTGATTCTGCGTGGGAGTAAGGGGTGTGTGACAGAGGCTTACAGCATGTCGTCTACATGCATGCATGTTTCTGTGCAAGGACCTACAGTCATTTGTGCTGAAAGATGCACGTCGAACTGTGTATACCGTGTAATCCAAAACTGGACTTTTTCGGACTTACAGGTTTTACCTGAATTCACTTTTGAACCTAAATGATGTTAGATGGAGCATATTTACATAATCCATCCAAACACAATACTGCATGCAAACATAACGTGTTGTTTTTCCAATATCCAGCATAATGCTTTCTGTCAGCAGTTTTGAACTTTAAAGCTGAGTTTGGTATTTTTGTAATTTGCTGGGTTCAAATCATGGAAACCTGCAAAAGTAAAAGGTTTTATTAACTTGCTAACCACTGTATTTGACTCTTGGTCATACTGAACATTTTTGAACTCCTTTTAGTGAGTTTTAGTTGCTGTTTAAGCATCCTCAAAGTTACTAAGTTCACCCCAAAGTTATTCTCTATGCACCATTTCAAAACTCTTTAGTCCTTTTCATTCAGGAATGTATTTGTCACAACATCCCAATTTCAACTAATTAGTTGAATTGGGTTAAAAGGATAGTTCACCCCCTAAAAAATGTGCTCACTATTTACTCACACGCTGGCATTTATTTTATTTCATTTGCTCAAAATGTTCTCCTTTTATTACAAGTGTTGCTGGAGTTTTCTATTCTCAATATTTACTCACACTTAAGTGGTTTTAAACCTTTATACGTTTCTTAATTCAGTTGAACACACTATAGGAAATAATATTCAGAAAAATGTTAGAAACCTGTAACTATTGATTTCCATAGTAGGAAAAACAAATACTATAGTTACAGGTATTATCCTGCATTTTTCACAATATCTTCTTTTGTGTTCAACCGAAGAAACTTGAAAAGTGAAGGATGAGTAAATGATGATAGAATTTAGAATTTTGTGTGAACTTTTGCTTTAATAAAAAGTTGCCTTCTGGAAAGGGGGCAGGGAGAAGCAGCTAATTTGCATTTAAAGAGAAACACCATTTTTTCCACTCCAATATGGGGCATTCACAGCGTAATTTAATTAAAGGTGCTGTATGCAAGTTTTGACTTTTCTAAAGCATATAAATACCATAATATGGTTGCAGATATTTAAGAAACACGCTAAGTTATCATTCTTGTTTATCTGAAAAACAATGCTGAAGTCAGATATTCTGCTTTGAAAATGTGAGGTACGTGCCAGAACGCTGTCTTTGTTTTGGTTGTTTGAACTTGCCCACTGCCACTTTAGCCAATTCAATTTCAGCACCTTGGGTTGCCTTGCTGGAAAAGCCCATATTTTATTAATTCATTCCGAAAATGTGACCTCCGGTGGACAGTAGCAGACTCTGAAATGAGACGCAGATTCAGAGATCCACATGAGATTATTAATTAGTAAATAATATAAATATTACAAATGTAAGCATTAGATGAGCAGGTTACATTGTAAGTCTGTGTCCTAACAACACACTACGTGACAAGATTTGCAGCAGACGAAACACGACAGCCAAATACAGCCATTCAGAAGCACAGAATATGCACTCACTCACAAAATATTACATATTAAACTTTTTTAACATTATTAAATGTACAAACTGAATCACTGATAGTTGTTGGCTTGCACAGTCACAGTCCTAAAGCTCAATTTCAAACGGTGTATTCTATATTCAAGAGGTGAACTACCTGCTGCTGCTTTCAGTAGTCTGGCAAAAAATGTCATGTAAAATGGCTTTCAAACTCACATTGTTGTAAAGCACATGAGGTGAACCTCAGGTGATCATTGTCAGTTTTCTGTTGTTCAGCAGCAAGAAATCGAAGCCATTTCTAATATATCAATTCGTGTTAGTTAGAACAAAAACTGCTTTTAATATGGAAAATATTCCTTCTATCGCATGTTGTTGCTTTTATTTAGGACACAATTTAAAATTAGCCTTTAGGCTTGATAGTCAGGCTCGTTCCTGTTGGTCCTCAATCTGGCAACCTGTGCTTGCGTGTGTTTTGATCCAGGAATGCAATACCTAGTTCAACCACTGGGCGTCAAACTTGCATACTGCACCTTTAAAAAAAGTCAGTCAGGTATTACAAGCTAATAATACACAACCAGAATCTTACATTACATCTTGCAAAAAGGGCATAAAAGGATGCTCAAAAGAGGTCAAGAGTTCAGCACATCCTCACTGACTAATGATACTTAATATCTGTGAACAAATAGCACAGGCTTTGATTTCTTGATCTCAAGCAAAGTCTAAGCCTGCTGTGTTTAAAGGAAATATTAAAGGGAGAGATTCGATTTTATAGATCTGAACTAATTGCTGCAGTAAACATTGTGGCATTTAAGGACACTTGATGGATTTAAATTGCACATTAATAATTAAGCGTACTTGGCCTAGTCAGAACTATTATGCGCTGCAGTCGTTCTATACTCATGCCTCAGTATTTGTTTACACGCTGGACTAAAACCTGCTTTTCCCATATGTCATCCCATCTATGATTTTGCATCCTGTGTGTGAATGTCCCCCGCTAAAATGTATATATAAATGTTGTAAGAGTCTGTACTATGTGTGTTTCCAGAAATGCCTGCGATTGGACCTTGAGGCTCCAGTGTGGGTTTGTAAGCAGCGAGTACTGGTCACTCTGACACAAAGCCTGACCGATGTGCTTAACTATGGCCTCTACCTCCCTGCCTTTAATGGGCGTGCCGGAAAGTTCCTCGATGAGGAGAGATTGCTCAGGGAGTATCCTCTCCCTACGGTCACACCTGTACCATACCTAGAGGTGCACATACATGCTGACAGAGAGCTCTCGCATAATACATTACTAATGCCCCATGTTGCTTGTGTTATTATCATTTACCTCTTAATTCATTTGTGTGACTTCAGTTCCGTTACAAGAGGCGTGTTTACACTCAGAGCCATGTAGATGACAAGCAACTGGCCAAATTGCACACTAAGGTAATGTTTAACATTCATGTGCACTACCATTATATAGTTAGGAGTTAGACAGATTTTTTTTTTCAGCAAAGATGCCTTAGATTGTGCAGAGTTTACATTTATAATACTAATAAAAATTATATTTTAAATAAATAGTAAGTAATAAATAGTCACAGCATATTTTGAACAATATAAAAATTTAATAATTATAAGAAATGTTTGAGCAAATCAGCATATTAGAATAATTGCTGGAATGACGCTGAAGATGGAACAATGTTGGAATATAAATTGTAATTTGTTTAATTTAATGTGCAGTCCTAAATTTTACAATATTACAGTTTTTACAATATTTTGGATTAAAAAATATCAGCTTATTTAAAAAAATGTACACCAGTCTCAACATTTTGAAGAATATAAAAACATAATGATAATAAAAATAATGTTCAAATCAGCATATTAGAATAATCGCTATCATGATGCTGAGGATGCAACAATTAATTAAATAGATATTGTGTTTTGTTTAATTTAACAAGCAGTTCTATATGTACAATGTGACAATCTCAACAGTGTGTTTTAGAATAAAAATGCTGCTTGGTGAGCATGAGACTTATTTTTTTTAAATGTTTACCAATCATAAAATTTTCAAAATAAACATTCTTCCATTTGAAAAGTTGTGTCACTTCAGAGGCTGCATATTTTAAATGATCTGAAGGCAAAGCAAGGTTTACAGAAGCTAGAAATATATTTCCTTTGATCCATACATACAACATGTAAACTGTCTATACAATCACTTTTTAGTAAGACATGTCATACTCATTTTGTTTTTTAACATGTATTTGAAATCTAAGTAAAATAAACCTAATTCATACATTCAATCAGAGTTTCTTTTAAAAACGTCCTACCGTTATCAGAGCGCAATGAATCTTGGGATGTTTAAGGTTGCAAACCTGGGAAATGAGGGACGCTTTTTGAGGCTGCATTTGAAAAAGCCTTAAATTTTTTTTTAACTGAGACATCCTTCGTCACGCCGTGATGACGCATCACCCTTCGAATGCATCCTTCGGAGGATGCAGCCTCTGAAATGAGACACAGCTAAAGTGTTTTTATAATGTTATTCAAAACACTGTGCTGTAAGCTAGTTGTTTTATTTTATTTTTTTGGTTCAGATCAAAATCGTGACTTGGGCCTATGCTTCTATTTACTTAGCCACATGGAGAAGAAAAAAAACACTCTTTGTCTGTGAATCATTTTGTGCATGTTTGCCGGCATGTCTTTAGAGGATGGGTTTGGAAGAGAGGGCACGTGGTTCAGGCTAGTAAAATAATTTGAATGGCTTACAGCACCCTTAAAATGACCATAACCTATACAGTTCGGTTGCATTCATCTATTCCCCTCTTCAAGTCAACTTAAAGTCCAAGGTTTCTTGCAGCAAAAAACAAAAAAACTAAATTTAGTTTTGCATGGTTATTTTCGGACTCCACTACATCTTTTTAAAAGAGTAAATAATACAATTTAATATCCATAACCAATGACAAGTGTTTAATATTACTTTACTTGCAGCGATAGATTATTATGCTCATCCTTTTTACCATTTTCTTTGCTGCCAGGCAAATTTAAAGAAGTTTATGGAGTATGTTCAGCAGAGGTGTGTGGATAAGGTCTGCCGGTTCCTGGAAAAAGGGCTGGACCCCAACTTTCATGATAGTGACAGCGGAGGTGAGTGCTAGACTTATTTTAAATGCTTCATGTGGGAAAATAGTTTCCAAAGTCAGTTTACTTGCCAAAAAACGTTTTTGTAACTCATTTTGGGACCTGTGTTGATAGTAGATTACTTTAAATCTTATTATGATTGGCTGGTCTTTATTTATTAAATCAGGCCCTTTATCTGATTTAAACTTTAGTCTGCTTTAGTCTCTGTTTCATGTGCTTATTAAACAGAACCAGTTCAATGAAATAATCAGTCTGAAAAAAATAAAATAATAATAATCAGAATCTTTTTTTTACAGTCTGGAAATAACCCAGCGGGCACCTTGATGTCAAAACGACATAAATAAAATAAAAAAAACACATCAAACATGTAAACCGATCTGATGTCAATTGACTAACTTGATGTCAAAACAACATCAAATTGACTGTCCTCTAATCAATTTTGATGTGTTTTTGAACACTAATGCTAGATGCCAATTTAATGTTGACATCAAGGTAGTTCACTTGCACTGTAGAGATGCAAAATCCAGTGTAAATCTGTCATCTGTAATTGAAGTTTTCAGATAAATAAATATTTTTTTAAATTATAATACTTTTTGTGTCATTATTTTGGTGGTCAAAGGCCATCAATGCTTGGATGCCACATTGATGCATTTACAATGTGTTTTTTGATGTTGTTTAAACATCAAGGTGCCTGCTGGGAAGCAACACAAACATTCTGCAAAACATCTCATTTTGCACTTTCCATGATCAAGTTCCAGAGAATGTTTGCTCTCAATAATTTATCAAATGAACAACAGGATGGAAGAAAAGCAAAGGTTTCAGACGTGATCCTTCATCAGTGTCTTTCCATGAACAAACAAAATAATAAAGAGGTGGAACAGCATAAACAAACAATGACCAGTGAACTATTCCTTTTAAGTTTGCCTTCATTAACATTTGGGCTACTTTAATGAATGTAAATCAAGAACAATGCTAATCAGCCAAGAGCATTCGACAAAATGAGCCAATCATGCATTCGCTGAAGCTGATTTGACATTTAGCATTTTTAATCATCTCGGCATGCGTGTGTGTGTATGTGTGTGTGTGATGTTTCCAGAATCTCCTCTCACTCTCGTGGCCCAGCTGGACACTTGTGCCGATCTGATTAAAGTGTTGAGAAGCGGAGGAGCCCATCTGGACTTCAGAACCAGAGACGGCTTGACGGCGCTGCACAAAGCGGCCCAAATGCACAACCATGTAGCATTGACTGTGAGTTGATGCACTTTTCCCTCCCACACGCACAATCCAAAGAAAGACTCATCCTTACACAACTCATCGCAAGCTGTTGGGAGCCTGTGCACATATGTCCATCATATTTCGTGTGCTGTCCGCAGACATTGTTGGATCTGGGAGCGTCTCCGGACTATAAGGACAGTCGTGGGCTCACCCCGTTATATCACAGTGCCATGGTTGGGGGAGATCCTTACTGCTGCGAGCTGCTGCTTTATGATCACGCTCAGCTGGGCTACAGCGATGAGAACGGCTGGCAGGAGATCCATCAGGTAACGTTTACTTCATTTCTTTTTTTTTTGCTTAACGCTCATTAAACGTAAAGGGAATGATTACATGAAGTTTCATTCTCCGGCGTGACTAAATATATCCTTTTTATTGTTTGCTACACCTGCAGCGGTGAGTGATCCGAGTGTGTGTTTTTGTACCATAGGCTTGTCGTCATGGAAACGTGCAGCACCTTGAGCACCTGTTATTCTATGGAGCGGAGATGAGCGCTCAGAACGCCTCAGGAAACACAGCACTACACCTGTGTGCCCTCTACAACCAGGTTTACACACCCACAAACACACACACGGACAGACTCTCCATACTTAAAGGGAATTTCATCTTCAAAAAGGCCATTTACTCACACTCAAGTGCTTCTAAACTTCTATGAATTCATTTTTTTTCTGTTGAACACAAAACAAGTTATTCTGACGATTTTTGAAGAAAAAAAAAAAAAGCTACTGAGATCCATAGCAGGAACAAAACAAATCTACAGAACTTTATAGCTGTTTTTCCTCCAACATTCTTCAGACTATCTTCTTTTGTGTTCATCAGAAGAAAGAAACTCAAACAGCAAAAGTAAGTCCAAGGCACTCCAAAAATGTGTAAAAAATATTACAAAGCCAGCACAGTTTTAAGGAATAGCCAAGTGAATAAGAGGATTTTAATATTTTTTCAACATTTTTCAAGCACCTTGGACTTACTTTTGCTGTTTATTCTGATGAATCAAAGAGCACCGACACTTGAATTAAGCTATCCCTGAGCACTTTATGTTCCATTTTGAAACTCAAACAGGTTTGGAACAAGTGGAGGATGATGACAGAATTTTCATTATTTTGGTGAACTATCCCTTTAAATCGACAACAAAAATATTACGAATGCTCAGGATGGCAAGTTTTTTTAAAAAATGCAATAAGCATAAATGCATTTTTAGTGCAGTTTGTGCAATTTTGTTGATCGTATTCAATATGAGGATGACCTTCTGCTTTGTAAAATATCAACTATATGGAAAATAGAACTATATAGAAAATTATATTCCATATTGCAATGCACATAATTTGTACCTCTGTCTGCGCTTAACATCATCATGACTCATTTTAGCACAATTGCATGAAATATTTCAATATCAGTCAGACTAAGTGTAAGTTTACATTACAATTATATACTAAAAACCTCCAAATTTCTAAACATATTTCCAGTACAGACGACTATAGTCAAAACAATCTCTGCTCTCACAGATGCATGAAAATAATAAAAAATGCTGCATGACAGTAGACGACGATATCATTAAAGAAACACTAGTACTACTATTTGATTGAGAAAACACGGTCCTGTAGATCAAAATTGTTTGGGTTATCAGAACTAAATATTAGGTTAGATTTAGGTTATGACGTCAGGTGACCAAAATTCAATGTCTAGCCAGCATCTGAGGACAACGTTATTTTGACGTCCACTACTGACATCAAATGATGTTGATATTTGGTTGATTTTAGGTTGTGTTAGAAAGTGACCAAAAAGTGACCACTGTCATATTGACGTCAAACACTGACATTTGTTTGTCATGTATGGCAACCAAAATCCAACGTCTGATATACATCATAGTGGTAATGTCCACACAATGTCAAGCTGGCACATTATTAGATGGTGATAATTAGATGATTTTAAGATGGAAGTTGGACATTGACGTCGGCCTGACGCTAGGTTATGATGTCAACCAGATTTTCATTTTCAAACAAAATTGCCATGACGTTGGGGTTCAGTAATCGGATGGCATGTTGACGTCCTGTGCGTGCTGGTTGGTCACACATATGATGTCACTGGTTTCACAAATTGCACAATATATCGATTTCGTAATGTGCGTATCTGCAATAGTGACATTTCAAGATACGTAATGTTAAGTCTGAAATATAATTGACCAGGAGCCACAGAAAGCATGTGATTTGTAGAGTTTGCATGTGTTTTTAAGGCATGTGACTGAGCATTTCAAGAAAGTTTATAATATTTGAGCACAAAAATGATTATGTTTGGTCACAAAGATTCATTTTGTTTAATTATATATTTATACAGAATTAATACGATTTATGCAACAAAACACCTTTTTAGACACCTTGTTTTAAGGGCAAAAACTATTAATTAAAAAAAACTAAATTAATTTACTTGATCTAAGAATTTGTAAATATTTGGACTATAAACAGGACAAAGCAAAGAAAGAAAAGCATTTTTTGCATTGTAATTATTTAATTTTTGTTACTAATTACTATTAGACTCTCCAGAAAACTGCCAAATCAAGCTATTCAAACCATCTTTTCATATCGCAATATTATCACAGACAAATAAAACTATCATCCCTAGTGTACAAAGATATAATTACATTAACATTGTCATCTTGCATTTTCAGGTGCTTAAAACAAAGTTTTGTAAAAAAAAAAAAAAAATTGTGTTTATTTGGTTAGTAATCCATCCATTTCCACTATTTTGCACCATTCATGTCAATTTGCAGAGAAAACTAATTATTAATTGATTTCATAACTGGCCAATTTCTGTTTCACTTAAGTAGATAAACTCAGTATACAGTACCTAACAGTACGCCATAAGCTAGGACTTTGCTGCAACTGTACTGTATATAGTTATTAAACTCAGCTGGAAATCAAATCATATACGAAACCTACACGTTTGCACAGTGCTATAACTATAACCTCCTCTCATTTTTTCCTCTGCTGTTTCTTTTGTTTTTTTTCATATTTACAGGAAGGCTGTGCTAGAGTTCTCCTGTTTCGAGGAGCAAATAAAGAAATCAAAAACTACAACAACCAAACAGCATTTCAGGTAGCGCGTCTCAAGGCCCAGCACTTGCTCTTTTACGATTCCTCAAAATAAACGCTCAACATATTGTACACTTTGTTTCTGGCAGGTTGCTATCATCGCAGGGAACTTTGACTTGGCAGAAATCATAAAGATCCATAAAACCTCAGATGTTGGTGAGTTTGAACCACTTGAGGCTTCAGGCATTGAAAATCTTGGGTCTATTTTAATCTGCACAGCAACACAACACCAATACATGCTTTAGCGGGCTAGACTGTTCACTCTGATTTAAATCCATTACTGGGTATCACTTTAGATAAAGCCTCAATTTATTATTTAATCTAGTGGATGTGGCACAAGTGCTCCTTTCAGAGTAGCAAAAGCAGAAATGACAGTATTTTATTACATCAAGCTGCATGGATCTTGTAACTTCATCATAGTGCACAACACACAAAAACCATAAAAGTATAATAGCATATTTTTGTTAAATTTCAGACAGTCAATCTAGATTTCTAATTTAAGAATAAGTGATGTAAACTGTCATAGCAGTGTATGTGGGCTAATCTCTCTATGATTTGTGTGTGTTTCTCTTTGTAAATCTCAGTCATGCTCTGTGTGATGTAATCTGTGAGTCATCTGTTTGTAATTTCAGTGTAATCTGAGTGTGTTTCATGTGCTGATCATCTCTCCGTTTGGTCTTCATGATGTATTTGAGCCACTCATCATTGCAACTTCTTCCTCACACCCACTTTGTGTGTGTGTGTCTGTGTTTATTTGAAGTTTTTGCAGTTTTATTTTAACCCCACATGTTGTGGTTCTGTACACCTGCAGCATTGATTTTATCTAGATACTAAATTAGATCTTTAAAGAGGCCATATCATGCATTTTGTTCCGTATAGTAAAACCTGCTGAATAATAAGAATGAAAGCACCCTTCCTAATCAATAAAGCGTTTCAAGAGTTCACACTTAGCTGATGATTGATTATAAAGCTTGTTTGGCACGCTATCCCGGGTTGAGAACTATGCAGCCTGATCTCACGAGAAAACTTAAGTATTTTACGTTTTGCCAGTTTAGTGGCTAATTCGTACAAATTCGTACGAGTTCAGTTGTAAGAAAATGTACGATTTTAAAAAGGAGGCGTGGCACCTAACCCCACCCCTAAACCCAACCGTCATTGGGGGATATGCAAATCGTACTAAAATGTACGAATTAGATCGTACGAATTTGTACGAATTAGCCACTAAATGAAAAAGTTACGAATTGCCGTAAGATTGTGTTGGAACTATGAGTTCATAAGATCCTCGAGCCTGGGGCCCAACCTTTTGCAAGACGAGAGGGGAGTTTGAGCTCAGGTAGATCTCGAGAACTCCCCTGCTGTAGTAGCTAATGAACAGACAGTGATTGCTCTTAAGAGATAACTACTTACTAGGAGCATGTCTATAGTGCTGATTTGGCTGAGTCAATTAATTTAAGTTGCATGTTTTTGGACGGTGGGATGAAACCGGGGAACCCAGGAAAACCCACATGAGCACGGGGAGAACATGTAAAACCTGCACAGAAACGTCGACTGGCTTGGTAAGGCCTAGAACCAGTGACGTTCTTGCTGTGAGGCAACAGTGCTCACCACTGGGCCACCGTGCCACCCATCTAGGAAAGAGGAGGAGTAGGGGTGGAAGGGGAGATTCTTTACAACAAACATGGCTGTTATATGGAACTTAGGGTATTTATAGTGGCTTAGGAATAATCTGATTGGTGAATCATAAATTGAATAATGCGGGACCAGCCGCAAACAATCATAAGCACAAGATCCTCTTAAAATTAGATCAGAAATAAACTTTACCTTTTGAAACAGATCCGCAATTTAGATTAATCCATTAAGTGATAGTTCACAATTTACTCTCATGTGGTTTTAACCCTTTTGAGTTTCTTTCTTTAGTTAAACACAAAGGAAGATATTTAGAAAAATGCTGGTTTCTTGCATCCATTGACTTCCATGGTAGGGGAAAAATAATATGGAAGTCAATGAGTGCAAGAAACCAGCATTCTCTATAATAATGACAGATTATAGGGATAGTTACTGCTTACTAAGAGCTCGTCTATAGTGCCAATTTGCTATGGTCAATTATCACATGTTTTGGATGTGAGAGGAAACCGGAGAACCTGGGGGAAATGCACGCAAACACGGGGAGAACATGCAAACTCCGCAGAGAAACGTTGACTGGTCCAGTAAGGATTTTTAACCAGTAACATTCTTTCTGTGAGGCAACAATGCTAATCACTGGGCTGCCATGTCACCCAATTTAGAAAATGAGGGAGGAGTAAAGGTGGAAGGGGGTACTCTTTAAGACGAAGATACTGATGTAAGAAGCTCTGATTATTTCTAGTGAGTTAGGAATCATCTGATGGTGAATCATGTGTTGGTTTGCTAATGCGGGACCAGCCATGGACAATCATAATCAAGTGCTCCTCACGAAATTGCTTTAGAATTAAACTTCACTTAATGAGACAATTTTTCTTAAGATTTCCATAAGAAAGTTGTTATATTTTTCATTCAGAATTCCTCATATTTTTTATAAGATTTCCTTATTTCCTTATAAAATATCTTTGATCATTTGTATCGATTTGACCCAACAAAACTTCATATTAACTGCATATTTTCTGTTCTTTTCAACAGAAGAAAGAAGAAACTCAAATAAATTGGTTTTGAGTAAATGATGAAAAATCTGTATATTTGGTGAACTATCCCTTTAATAATTTTTCATTAGATTTCCTTGTATAGCCTGTAAGATATATGTGAAAATAAGAATAATATTCTTATAGTGAATTTTTCAAGACTTCTTCTACACAAGTGCTTGTTTTTCACCTGTTGTGATAGTTGTGCATGAGTCACTTAGTTGTCAACCGTCACTCCATTCTCAACAATATTTCATATTTGACATTACATATTTATATTTCTCAGCTACAGATATACTTAGAGCATGCTGGGAAACCAAGAACGTACCATACTTAAATTTAGCAAAGAAAAAAAAACAATATGCAGGGACAAAAACAGCAACTAACTCACAACTATCACAAACTGACACTGACAAAATCACTGTTATTTATTTGATTGATGCGACCTCTTTATATTTACATCCATAAAGCGTGAACTATTAAAAACATGCAGCCTTTAATGTTTTTCAAAATGACCCCTATATTTCAATTCAAATTAATTGAATGTATTACAAAAGCTTAAACGGCAGCCGTTCTTACACCGGGGTTCACAGATGAGGTGCTAGGTTTCGCATTATGAGTGACTGGTCTCCATCTCAGCCTGATAAAGTTTAATCTGTTCTGCTAGTCCGTTTCTTCATGATAGTCTTGAACACATCCATGCCAGCCTCCTGGAGAGTTTCCTGATCCATTTGACAGGCGAAAATGGGTTTTATTCACAACTGATAGGATTCTTCAGGAATCCATTACAGAGGGCACTCTGGTCTAGTGGGTCATTTAATGTTGCTGAGGTTTTTTGATAACTTTCCTGGTAAATGGCATTGCACTATTTGAACATTAAAATGCTTTCTTCTTTTCTAAATTCTGATTGAGTTCACTCACATCTATGAGCACCTGTATCGATTTGATCCAACAAAACTGCATTTTAAACGCTCACTCACTCACTATCCTTCGACTTAGTTTCTGATTTATCAGGGGTCACCACAGCGGAATGACTCACCAATTACTCTAGCCTGTGTTTTACACGCGGATACCCCTCTAGCCACAACCCAGCAATGGTAAACTGCATACTAAACAATTGGATAAAAAATTGATAAATAGTGCAACTGTACTGCGGGTGTACGCCATCATTTCCATTCTCTTCCTGTATTGTCCTATCATAGTAAATGCAAAAATAAATCTTACAATTTTTTTTAAAATGACTGCAGTTTTCAAATGGCTCTTGATTTAATGATGTAAATATATATATAAAAGATAAATGTATCTAAATAAATCTTATTTGCAGTAGTAAGAGCCAAACTACGGTCCAAAGTACTTATTTCTTTTTTCATAATTGGTGTGTGTGTGTGTGTGGTATTAATCGTTTGTCACGTGCATGTCTGTTATCTCCCACAAATTTACATGGTTTTATATTACAAGCATGGAGATTTTCCTAGATTTTTATCATTGGTTTAGAATATTACAACAGTAGGTCCCAGTTAATATTGGGTGTCTTTAACTACCATGTAGTTGCAAAAAATGTAATTGTTAGGTGCAATGCACTTATTGTGCTTTTGTTGTACTCCCCTTTTGTTGCAAGTAAGGTGGGATGTGGTTAAGGTTAGTGACAGTTTAATTACAGGTGTTATCCCAGGAATGTACTCAAATATGCGCACAATAATTGCATTGTATCAAACGATTAATTTAAATGTTAATACATGGTACTTAAAGACAGTTCATATAAAGTGGGTCCCAACATTATAGTAATATACACTAAAAAATTGAATAAATCCAATGTATACATTCTTTCAGAGTAAGTGCTTGCAAACAATTTATATGAGCTGGTTTAAACAAAACAAATTAATGAATTAATTTATTTATTTTTGTTTACATTCAGTCCATTTCAATTGTTTGCAACCACCTACGTTCAAAAATATAGTAAATCAAATGAATCATTTTTTCAGTGTAGCTCTGTGTGTTTTTTATGTTGTGGTGTGCATAACTATGTCCCTGTCTTCCTATAAAAGTGCCTTTCAGGGAGACCCCTTCTTATTCGTCCCGGCGGCGTGCGGTTTGTGTGTCTCCACGTCGCTCTCTGATGCGATCGGCCAGTGATAACGCTCTGGATGAGACTTTAACAGCTCCCTCTCCAGCCCCCTCCCTGCGCAGCCTGCCGCCTCTGGAGCCTGACGACACGGTCCCGTCCCAGCGGAGCCCGCAGGCTGCTCACACACATACACGCAGCCTCAGGAGACACACACGCTCTGGAGGACACCTCAGGTGACGAGAGATGCTTCTCCAATACTATTTGTGTACTATGAAAAATAAATGATTCGTTACATTTACTACATTTTTTAAGGTAATTAATTGTTGCAAACAATTTATATGGGCTGAATTTAAACAAACAAATTAAATCTAGTAATGTTCAACTTCATATTTGTTTAAATTAAGCCCATATAAACTGTTTGCAACCCCTTACATGAAAATTAAAATGTAGTAAATCCAAATTAATAATTTTTTCAGTGGCACATCGTACTTTTCTGTTAAATCCAAGCTCATTTGAATGCAACTTCCAGAATAAATCGGTTTCATTTAGCCTATTCTTATTTAATGTTTTGGTTTTAATTTAAACGGAATGAATTAGATCATGCATAACCTTTTTACTGTGTAATAAATGCATTATGATCAAAGTTTAATACCAAAACTGATCATTTAGGTGGAAATTGTGGAACAGCGTTCATTTAGTATCACTCTGGTAAATTTGTATTAATAGTTTTATTTAGTTTTTACTTACATATTATAACTGGTCATTGTAATTATAATCTTAAATATGATATTAAGTAATAATAATGTTAATACTTTAAATACAGGTGCAATAATATGCATTAATTCATGGTTGATATACACTTATAATCTCAAGTTACTGTATATGTACTATAATATAATTTATATTAACATACTGTGATTTTATTACTGTTATAACTATTATTATAATTAGTTAAAACGTCACGTAAAGTCATCAAGTTAAGTCATAATGATATCTTTGCAAACCATATGAAAATGACTGACTTATTAAAACAAACATTGAAATATTTCTCTAAAATTATGTCATTATGTTATATTATGTCTAATAAGATCTCTGACATTCGATGTTGACAAAGTCAAAATTCAGGTAAAGTCATCAAGTTCAGTAATACTGATATCTTTGCAAATCAGAAGCAAATGATTGACTTATTACAGCAAACGTTTCAATAATAGCATAGCTCTATAATATTTCGAACATTAGATGTTATCAGAACATAATATTAAAGATAAAAGAGATATAATATCTGTAAAATTATTATGATTATGATTCTGTCAACCTTCGGCACAGATGCACACCATTCAGTTGATCACATTAACCAGCACTTGATACGTATAAATATCCAGCCACCTCACCATCTTAAGAGGTTTTCTGGCATCCCTCCTCCACCCCTAAATCTCCTCACCCTTATTCTAGTCTATCCATTATATAAATAAGGTATGTGAGGAGAGTTCTCCAGGTTTGGGCTATAATGTATATTCCATACTCCCTCCTTGAAGACATCACGCCAAAATTCATCAATTAGGATTAGATGTAAGGGTGAACTCGTAAAAATAATGCTTGACTACCTGAAATTGACCTCATGGCTGGTTGTTAATGTGTCCGCAGCCCTGGCAGTCCTGTACAGAGAGAGCCGAGCCCTCCTGCGGTGCCTCGAGGGCCCAAGCGGCGGCTGTACAGTGCAGTGCCCGGGCGAACCTTCATCGCCATCAACTCCCACACTCCACAGGGCGAGGGTGAGATCACACTCAACCGAGGAGAGAGGGTCAAAGGTCAGTCAGTCAGCCTCTCTGTGGGACAAGAGGCAATAAGGTCACATTACATTCATGCTGCAATCAGTCACATTCTGAATGAGAGTTTCATCTAATACTTAAACCCTGTCAACTTTCAAGAGTTAAACAATATGAACGTTCTCCTTTCTAATGACTTTAATTGCTGACAACATTTAGTTGTTAATATACATGCATAAAGGAGAATTCTGTATTTCTTCCTTTTTTAACCTCCTTATGAACATTGTGGAATAATAAATGGGATAATTTATTCAATTATCACACACAAAATGTTAAAAACTATATGTTTTTCAAAGGAATTTAATGCATTGATTAGAAATTATGCATAATTTCCACTAGATTTTGTTTTCATAGCTCATATTTCACGTTTTGCACAGACACTGTTTTGCCAACTGTTTAAATTAGTGTAAGAATTGATTTTCACGCAAATGTTTGGTGGTTTAACAGGTCAAATGTTTATAAATATATAAAAGTCCTAAGATTTTAAATGTTATAGTTGTTTTTACATATAAAACTGTAAAAAAAATTTTGAGACTGGAACATTGGTGAAGCAATAATATTTATTAACAAAACCATTTGGTAAAGTAAATGATAAAGACTCACCAGTGATAAGCAAATGATAGTCACTCACCATTACAGTTCTACTATGATCTAAAATTAAACAACAAACAAAACTAGCTACAAAAACTAATCTGACTGTGGAAAACAATTCAAATCCAGCATTTAACAATTTGTTCATGTCTCCACTAGTGCTAAGCATAGGTGAAGGAGGATTCTGGGAAGGCTCAGTAAAAGGACGGACTGGCTGGTTTCCTGCTCACTGTGTAGAGGAAGTCCAGATGAGACAGTATGACCCACGACTCGGTCAGTGCACACACACATGCATTCAGAATAGAGCTGCACAATACATCGATGTAGGATCAGAAAACCCTTAAGCACTGTTTATTTCACTTTTATCTTTGCTCTATTATATTTATCTATGCTTTAATTCGAACTCTAACCATTACTTACTTTCAGTTTGTTTATTAGATTTAATTTGCATGATTCTTTCCCCTACAAAATGATCATCATAAAGTTAATGAAGTCATCTAGTGAAATTGTATTCATATTGAAATGTGGGTTGCAGAAAAATAAAATAATCACAATGATTTTTCCAACATCCTAATTCAGAGTCTGCACAAAAGTTTAATATAAAAGTATTCTGCTGTATAACGTTCAGATATCATTGTTATTGATGTGGACTGTTTCTCAGAAACAAGAGAAGACCGCACCAAGAGACTATTCAGGCACTACACTGTTGGCTCCTACGACAACTATACCTCTTACAGGTACTGTATACACTACACAGTACATACATCGTGCTGCATATTTTGAAAACGCCATAGATCATCTAGTCTTTCTGAGAATTTCTGTGTTTTTTACCATGCATATAATTAAAATTAATTGAGTAGAGTGCTACTATGTGTTTTCAATCTTGATATTTATTCTGATTATTCCAAGTGTGGGATTTTGGAAGTGCAGCACCTCTCACTATTGATTTCTGTAAATGCACAGTGATTATGTTATAGAAGAAAAAAGTGCAACGTTGCAGAAGAGAGACAGCGAAGGGTTCGGCTTTGTGCTTCGGGGAGCTAAAGGTCTGAAATGCACACATGCACATGAGAGTGAATGTAATCCTCAAACTGCGCAGATGCTATAAATAGATGTTTTCTCTTATTAGCTGAGACGCCCATAGAGGAGTTCACACCTACTCCTGCTTTTCCTGCACTGCAATACTTGGAGTCAGTGGACCTGGAGGGAGTGGCGTGGAGGGCAGGATTAAGGACAGGGGATTTCCTCATAGAGGTAAAAATGTTTAAAGAGTCAGTTTACCACCACAGAAAGAAACTCAAAAACCTGCCTAAATTAAAGCCCGTTGATACTTAAATAACTCAAACAAAATAAAGCCAAGGTGAAATTATTCTGGAGTTTGTTTCAGAAGTTTAAAGCCAGTTTAGTTAATTCCAGTGAAATTACCAAAAACCAAAATGACTTATGGCAGAGATAGGAAAAGGACATTTAATAAGATCCCTGAATAACACTAGGGGTGTTAGTTGTCTGGTTGTTGGTTTATTAATAAAAAAAAAGTCTAAAATTGCAATGTAATGAAAGTAGCAATACATCTTCTGTGTTAGTCATCTGAGTGAAATGTATGTACGTAGGGAAACAATGTTGCATGGGGACTTATGAATGAGATTATCCTGTATAAATTGCATAAATTAGAAGATAAGTCTGTCATTTGATTAAAGTACAATTAATTTATTTTAATGAAGCATGCAAAAATGTGTCATTTACCAAAACATTTTAAATACACTAAATTAATTTACATTTCATGTTGACTTTTTAGACTGATGAATGTTGTTGTGCATCTGCTGGGTTTCTACTTGTGTTGCATCTTTCTTTATCTCTCCCCACACCTCTCAGGTAAATGGTGTGAGCGTAGTAAAGGTGGGACATAGGCAGGTGGTATCACTGATTCGGCAAGGTGGAAGTCGGCTAGTAATGAAGGTGGTGTCTGTTACACGCAAACCTGACACTGGAGACGTTGTTCGCAAAAAAGGTTCTTACCCTCAACTCACTTTAATGCATACACAATGCAATTTTATTTAACTGGACTTAATGGAACACTCCAATTTTGTGAAAATAAGCTCATTTTAGAACTCCCCTAGATTTAAACAGTTGGTTTTCACCATTATTTAGTCCATTCTGCTGATTTGCGGGTTGGTGGGGGCATTTTTAGATCAATAAATTGGATTTGAGCATTAGCATTTTGCTTAAAAATGATTAAAGTGTTTTATTAATTTTGACTATATGGATTATTTCCAGGTGCTGCATAATAGTTGAGCCTGTTGCAACCATAATAAAGCAGCAAAGTTCCTTGATTATTACACCACAACAAGAATAGTTTCTACCCATATAAAATAGCAACTTTTAATTTTCCATCAGCCCTATTATGCAATATAACTACAGTAGAGTCAAGTTTTAAACAGAAAAAAATGATCAAAACTCTTTGCAGCGAGATGCTAATGATAATAAAATGAGCCTATTTTCAAAAATGAACAGTGTTCCTTTAAAGAACTTGAACAACTAGGGACTGCTGCAAAATGCTGCATTATAAATATTGCATTTCTTGTTCCTTCTGATAATTAGCCCCACCACCTCCCAAGAGAGACCCAAGCACCAGCCTGACCCTGCGCTCAAAAAGCATGACTGCAGAACTGGAGGAGCTGGGTAAGACAGATGCTCATACAAGCAAGCAAACAAACAAGGAAACGCACACCTTCTTGCATTACGCTAGATCTCAGATAAGTTTAAACAGCTGCTATCATTAAATTCGAGGGCACAATCAATTTTTCCAGCAACAATCTGCATTCAAATTAAAGTCTGTTCTTTCTGTGAAAATGATACAGCTATGAAAGGGAGTGTGAGTGATTGTGCAGTGATAGCTTTGCTAATTCATTTCTAATGAAAAGTGCACACATCTATGAGCAATATCAGGAACTATAGATTTGTCCTTCTTGTCCACAAGCGTCAAGAAGAAGGAGGGGAGGTAAGATATGAAAACAGTCTCACGTCGATGATATCATTTACTAGTTTTATATTATGGTTAGCATGTGATGTCCTGAATGGATTTTTTTAACTTTTTTTTAGCTTGTGCTTTTTTTTTTGCCTGAGATTTGTATTTAAAACTATAGTTAGTTGTTTATGTGTTTGTTTTTCATTTGTGGATTTTAGAAAAACCATATGTACAGTATGTGCTTTGTGATGTATTTGTGAATATAAATGTGTTCTTACAGACAGTGTATATTATAAACATGTGTAATGTAATGTAATCTGTGTTTATATAGCACATTGTGATATACGTACGTGTGTTTTCTAGTGCATTAGGTAATTGTGTTTGGTCTTCTGTGATTTGATTTTGAGGACGGACCAGAGTGCAGCTTAAGAATGTGTATTAAGTGTTTCTGTGCATGTGTGCATCTGTGTGTATCCCTCACAGAGAAGTTGGATGAGATGTTGAGTTCGCCAAAGGAACAGGTTGTAGTGATGAGGCAGCGGCCAGTGGATTCAGACTCCAGAGCAGCCACTGTGAAACAGAGACCCACAAGTCGCCGTATCACACAGGCTGAGATCAGTGTGAGTCTGATACACATAAACATATGTCATTTAAAAATAAAAAGTTCTTTTAAATCAACATTACAAAAATCATATATACACCATTTAAATATTTTAAATATAATTATAGTTTATTATTAAAAATAGATTTACATCAAATATTCTAAAATAAAATAAATAAATAAAAAACACTAATATGCAAAGCCTTTGTTTTACAGTATATTGCAGTAGGCAATTTGTAACGTAGTGTACTACTACTAGTGTTATGCATCACCACTGTAGAACAGTAAACAAAATTGTGCCAGAAAAATCCTGGCTGCTGATCAGCTTTTGTTTATAATGCATATTGTCTTTAGGTTGGAAAATGGAATTAGCTGTGACTGCATTTTATGTGCGTTTGTTTAATACCTGATTAATCAGAAACTGTGATTTGCTTATTGTTCTGATAATATCTGAAGTTTTGCCAAAATCTGACTATGTGTGTTTTTTTGTTGTTCTTTTTCAGTCTCTGTTAGAAAGGCAGGGTTTGCCAATAAGCGAATTATCTTTGGCTGTAGACAAAAGTCACATGCAGCTGCCTCGGGGGATGTCAAGAACCAAGTCATTTGGTAATGTATCAGACGGCACATGCATACACAAACATTCTCACTAAATTTCCCTTTGCATTAACTAATGACACATATAAAAAAAAAACGCTGTTTAAATATAATTATCAACAGCAATTTAATCCTTGTTCACAACAAGTCTCACTGAGAATTGTTTTATAGGTGCTCCTGAGGATGATAGAATCTCAGCCCTGATCGGAGAGCATCGCTTTCCAAGAAGTTCCTCAATGACTGACAGCTTTAGACAAGATAGCATCCCACCCCCTCCACAGACAGCTCCCCCACCACCTCCGACTCCCTATTTCCTTGATTCAGGGCCACCTCCATCCTTTCTTCCACCTCCGCCCCCTTCACGTGCTGCCAACCAGAGTCGCTCAAGCTTCCGCCCAGGAGCAGAGCCGAAAATCCATGGCCCAGTCACAACAGATCGCCAGCGAAAAACACGCTCCATGATCATTCTTCAGGACACCAGCCATTTGCCAGTGGAGCCTACCCCTATTACAAGACCGCAAACGCCTACCTCTGGACCGGTTCCTCCAGAGCGTGGTCGTAGGCGTGGACCACCTGTGGAGAATCCGTATGCTAATGTAGGTCGATTAAGTGCTGTCTATACTCCCACCAAACCTCAGCGTAGAAAGAGCCCACTAGTCAAACAAGGACCAGTCGAGGAGGGAGCTGCTGCTCATTCTAGCCGAGACCCTTCTCCATTGGGAGGTTCACGAATTCCTCACAGCAGCCGGGCGGAGCAGTTCCAACAGCAGGTTCTCTCTGAGCGAGCTAGGATCACACCTCCTGGGGCTCGACGCAGGCCTAGCGTTTTTCTGTCTGTAGAAGGGGGAGCAACAGAGCCACAGACAACTCCATTACTCTCTCAGTCTCACTCAGTGGATGAGTTGGCTGAGTTACCTCCACCTGCACCAATGCTCTCTCCTGGCCCACCACCAGGGGGGACAACTTTTATACACCCTCTAACAGGTCGACCACTCGATCCTTCATCACCTTTAGCACTTGCACTGGCTGCACGAGAACGTGCACTTAGTGGCCGAAATACACCCACCCCCACACCTTCGCCCACACCTTCGCCCACTCAAGGTAGAGCAGTGGAAAGGCCCGAGACAGAAGGAGGAGCAACACCACCTGCTCCTCTTGAGGCTCCTCCATCTAATTCCTGGAGAGATGAACCAGTCAGCATCACAGAAACGGCCAGCCAAGTGACTAGTGGTAGCCCAGGGTCTGGAAGAAGCCTTGAAGAGGCGCTCGCTCCACCCGGGGTGCAAAATATCCAACCTGCGCTGATGGATACAGAACATACCCCACCAGCAGTCCCACCCACTCTACCTTCCCCTGCCCCTACTCTTTCCAATCTGACTGCTCGAAGTATGACTATGAGCTCAGAGGAGGAAGCGGAGCCCTACACAGTGACACTTCCCCCTGCATTGCTCTCATCCAGTGATGAGGAAACCAGAGAGGAGCTTCGGAAAATAGGCCTGGTTCCACCGCCTCAACCTTTTGCTAATGGCCTTCTAATTAAAGAAACATCCAAAGCCACTCTGAGCATTTCACCTAGCGGGTCACGGCCATCCATTGCTAAGACCTCCTCTGGTAAAGCAAGTGATTCAACAGCAGACTCTGGGGTTGAAGACCCTCATATGGAGACCACCAGTACTGTTTCCACAGTCTCCAGCATGTCCACTTTGTCTTCAGAGAGCACAGACTCCGCTCATGCAAGCAAACCACGTTGTGGGGTGGGGCGTGGTCGCCCCGCCCATCTCAGGGACCCACTGCTTAAACAGTCATCAGACAGTGAGCTGCTTCCACACCCACCCAGCACAGGCCCCAGCCGTCCACGCTACCTATTCCAAAGACGTTCCAAACTGTGGGGGGAGGAGCCCCGGGCCCAGATGGGGTCATCAGATGAAAGTCGGCCTGCTGCTATGGGGGCAGAGTTGCTTAGCAAAGACACTCATTCACTGGGTGAGGAGCCACCAATGGGAGCACCACTTGACCCTGGCAGGAGATCGCCTGTGGGAGGTGCCAGGTAGGACAGAGCTGATCAAAACTGTGCCAACTTTAGCAAGCACACGCACACCTGCATGAAACACTGCACAAATGTCAATATCATTTAGCAATACACCCAATTGACTTTTGACACCCTTAGCCACACATCTGGTTAAACTGCCTTTCCATAACACACATTTGTGTGTCTGTATGTCCTTGCAGATGTGAGGAGAATGGAGGAGAGAGTAAATCGTAGGTTTTTAGCTCTGTGGGTAAAAACAACTCCTTGTCTAACTAACTTTCACTAAACCCCTTACTGCAGCCATTAGTTAAGCTGCAAATGCTACTGTGGGCTTGTCTTAAAAGGCTTATGGTAGTTCATTGTGCAGTAACTGAGGCATTTCAGCTTCTGTCTGTCTTTGCGCAATGAAACTGGAATTTTCAGTGTACCACTAAGGGACAATCGATTAGCTTTTCAATAAAAAGTCAAATGAAACAAATGTTGAATTTACATTTAGTTTATATTGCTGCCTTATAAATGGTGAGTTTATTGCAGCAAGTTTTGGATGTTTACAAAATGAATACCAAAAGCATGCTGTGGTGGAAATACTGCAATATACTAATGCATTTCTTTATACCATTTCTGAGGACTCCAGTTTTATAATAACTGCTCTAACTGTCATTTTATTGCATTAAGTTCTTACTGCATGCTCAGCACTATTAGTATTTTCACAAACCCAATGCTTCTAGCATTGGATCCACTTTCCTTTTCTCTTACATTAGTTTCCCAGTAGTTTCCCAAAAGTACCACAGTTAAAACTCTTTCTTTGTATACCTTTTTGCTTCCACTAGTCCTTTCTCTCTCTTATTAGACTCTTATTTTGTTCTTTCTTAGACTTTTTAGTAGTTTAGGAGAGCTTCACACCATCTCACAAAGGAGTTACGGCACCACCTTTACAATCCGACCTGGCAGCCGATACCCAGTGACCCGTAGGACTCCAAGCCCTGGAGCCACCCCAGAACGGAGTGAACCATTGGGGCCTGTCCGTACATTCGGCCCACATCACCACCATCATACAATCCTCAAGTCTTCTAGCCTAAGTTTGCCACAGGAGCCCAAGGAGGTTCGTTTTGTCATGAGGAGTGCTAGTGCTCGAGCCCGCAGCCGCTCTCCATCCCCTTCTCCATGTGCCTCCCCCTGCCCCTCGCCGGTACTGGGAGCCCCTCTCCTGGCCCTGCGACCGTTCAGACAGCGCCCCCTAGCACTGTGGAGTAAGTATGATGTGGGAGAGTGGCTAGAGAGTGTGGGACTAGGGGAACATCGTGCACGCTTTTTAGAGCATGAGATTGAAGGAGCACACCTGCCTGCCTTGACCAAGGACGATCTGGCAGAGTTAGGGGTGACACGGGTTGGACACAGAATGAACATTGAACGTGCACTAAAGCAGTTGCTAGAAAGTTGAGGAGAGCTGAAATGCAGGATGTAGTGCCATCACAAAATAATTAAATTGTACTATTCAATTTTAAAGTTATCCCGAAGTCTAACGCCATAGATTCCAACCCACTTTGTTAGCACTGCACAGCCATTATATAATACAGATTTCTTTTTCTCCCAAGCACCCCTGATTTAACACCCACAAACAAAATCCACATTTCCTTACTAGTTTGCAGCCTACTAAGTGTAAAAATAACATGCTGGACGGGAGAGTGGACCTACTGCGCAATATCTTCTATTTACAGCTACAGGTCTTAGAAAATCAAACTGGCCATGTTTTAAATGGATCTTCTGCACAATAAATTATATAGCCAGCAAGCAGCCATCTCTTTCACATGCCATGTTTTATAATCAAATGATGATGATGAAAGTGTGGCAAACACTACAAACTGCTTTCACATTATCAGAGGAATTTTAGGAATATATTCACCATCTGGATTTGTGTGCATTTCTTGCTTCCAGGAGAGAGACTTCTGAATTTAGAAAGCAGTGTCAACTTGGGTGAAAAAGAAAAGAGCGGAAACCTCTCCTGTAAATAATGCCAATGCTTCCAAGTGCCCAGAATTTACAGTTTGCTCACCGGCCATCTTGCAACTCAACAGTAGATAGCCATGTTAATGGTGATGATTATAAGATGAATTGCAGCAACTGGACTTGGCATGTGAACGCAACATGTTCAAGTAAGAAAGGATCTGACAATCTGCCCTAAACTAGGAGAAAAACAAAAAACTTCTCCCAATACAATACAAGTGTGGCCTTGAGGTAATACTGCCGCCATCTAAAATTTATTAAAGATAGATATTTTCAATCACTACATTCAATTTTATATGTATATGATATATATGGAGTTATATATTGAGAAAAAGAAGAATGTATGAGAATAAGGTGAGATATACTTGTCTTATGCCCTGTGAGATTGTGTCTTACTTTATATTTGTTATTTTATTTGTCGATTATCAACCAATTCCCTAACACGAACACAGTTACTCTTTTTTTTTCCCCATGGTATAACTTGTGATTTGTGAGTTATAAACGCATAACCTTTGGACTAGTTCATAGTCAGTTATTTAAGAATTTCATAATTACAAATAGACCTTTTTTTGTCTATTATGAACAAATGCTCAGTAAGACTGTATGTGGAATAACTGTATTTGTTTAAACAGGGGATTTGAAATACTATGGGTTGTAGGTATACATTTATTTGTTACCTTTTGTATATGAGAACTCGGCATCAGTCAGTCATTTAAAGCTGGACAATTTGTGAATTGAACATATTTTTCTTTGACATGATCATTTTGGTTATGTATTGTGCAATTATTCATTTGGAATTTGAGTCTTTTTAAGGCTTTCAGTTTAGAGCTATACAAGCAAACCTTGCTACCTAAGGGCTTTTGACACAGTCAGATTAAACATTATGTTATTAAAAATCTGTTTCAACGCAAGTTTATAACTAAAAGTAATAACATGGCACATAGGTAAACACAAATCTAGTGTTTATTGGCCTTAAACAGCAGTGTGACCCTGACCCTAATGACCCCATTTCTAGTAAAAGGTGTCTACTGTACAACCAAATTACTAAAAGAAGTGAATATACTGTGAATATTGAATTTGTTTTTCGAGTTTTCATTTTAAATTTCCCAAGATCTCCATTTAATTAACCAAATGCTGAGATTATATTGTGTCAAACATTATATGGTAACTAGCTTGACTGGTTTTGTTGTGTTTGGTAAGCTGGAACAGTAGGTCTTGCTATGGTTTACACATCTAACTGACAGTTCAACTCTGCCAACTAAGGAGAAAAATCCTCACACTTGTCTCTCCTCTGGTTGGTCAATTTGCACAAAGATGTGGGTGCTACTGTTTATAAGCCATCTGCATAAAATATTATTGTACTTCCCTCATCTGTCCCTGTTTTTCTCCCCCTCCTCTAATCCTCACTCATTTACCCTCCTAAACACGATTATGTAATTAATAATTACTGGTGTAAGAAGGGTGTGGCAGCCATATTCATTTAGTTTACTACTTTTAGGAGCTCTCTCTTCTGTTGTTGACTTTTTTTTTTTTTTTTTTTGGACGAAGTGATTTGAGGATCAAGCTTTTTGGACATGTTTGCTTTCAAATGAGAAAATGTACACAAAAATATTATTTGACTTGTCTGTTATTAAAGATCATCTCTCAGGCTGTGGGGATTAATTCAATAATATATCACTCTTCTGTGGAGAAAAGGTATGGGGTCATGTTTATTCCTTTACACATTTCAGCATATCCAAAGAACTACTTAAAAAGTTCAACAAAATAAACCTATGAAGGAATTTTATTATTAAGATGAAAGAGCACAGAACATTTATATATTCATAGAGCCCAATCTCATGAGGAATCATAACTATTTAACGTATTGTCAGAAAAGAGGCTAATCATATAAATTCATTTGAACGTCAACCCTAAACCTGAGCAAATTGTACTAAAATGTATAAATGAGATGGTACATATTAATATTACTAAGAATTATTTATATTACTATTAGTATATTAGTACAAATAACTAACTCAAAACGAAACATTGTGAAAATGTTAAACCGAGGTCCTGACTCTCTGTGGTCATAAAAAAATCCCATGCCACTTCTCGTAGGGGTATAACCCCGGTGTCCTGGCCAAATTCCCTTCATCGGCCCTTACCCATCATGGCCTCCTAATCATCCCCATCTACTGAATTGGCTCTATCACTCTCTCTCCACTGCACCAATAGCTGATGTGTGGGAGCACACTGGTGCCGTTATCCTGAGGCTGCCGTCCAAATGGATCATCCAAGTGGATGCTGCACACTGGTGGTGATGTGGAGAGACCCCCTTCATGATTGTGAAGCGCTTTGGGTGTATAGCCATACACAATAAATGCGCTATATAAAATTACATTACATAACGAATTGCTGTGAGATTGCATTTATTCATCTAAATTGCATTGATTCATCTGTTTCTCAACCACGTTCTAGGAGGACCACCAGCTTTGCACATTTTCTATGTCTCCGTAACCAAACACAGATGATTCAGATCATCAGCTCATTAGCGAAGACTGAAATACATGTAATGGGTGTGACAGAAAAAGGAGACATCCAAAACATGAAGTGTTGGTGGTCTTCCAGGAACGTGGTTGAGAATCACTGACCTAAACATCATTCTCAGCACTGAGGACAAATTCAGGATTTTATTTAAAAGTATATCACTGTGCAAAGGTATGTTTTATTTACTTCTAAGCAAAGAGTGATTTGGAATTTATCCTGAGTGGATCACGTTCATTACTCAGTCTCTTGTACGTTATGTGCACGAGCTTAAGCACAAGCAATAGATTTGAATCTGCCATTCACTTAAATGTCCACTGTTGTCACTAATAATAAGAGTTTCTGAATTCTTCATTGAGCCTCTTTAATTTATTCTAATACATTCCAAACCTTGCTAACTAAATGACCAAATCAAGAGAGAAGAAAATGGCTATCTTTTAATGACGCTCATTTACTGCAAATACAATCGTCATGCTGAGAGAATATTGATTTCTGTGTACCCACTGACAAACCACACTGATTGTATACATATTACAGAAATCTGCCTGAATATACAAAATATATAACTATGTAATAATGTCACATAATAGTTCACAAAATATTTTTTTAGTGGTGCATGTTGTCACTATGCAACGTGTCAATGCTAATTTGTAACAAGAAACAGTAAGTACATCTAAAGTTCTTATGAGGCAAGTCATTTCACTTGACGGCCATCTCTGAAACACCTCTCGGGCCGTATGCTCAGGCATTCTGTTTGAATGGGGAAACCTCAAATACTCCAAAATTGCTTGCCAAGGTTACGATAAAACTTTATATCAGGAATCAACAATAAAATTAAACAACAACTGTGTCTTTAATTTAATTTCTAAACGCTTGAATCACAAAATCAGAAGAAACTCACGTCTGGTTTGAGTACCTCCCCTGGAGAATCATCAGTCTATAGTGATCGCTGATTGGCCCCAGTACTAGAAGGCGGGGCTTTACTCGCCATATTGACAGTTACACTTTTCCCCATTCAAAACTATACGAGTAACACATCTTGTGTATTCTATAGTCTTTGCTAAATTTCATACATCCATGTTCAATCACTAATCTGTTTTCCAACTATTTTGAACAGAAATCGCAGCAATAATTTAAACAAATACAAAAATTAATAACTCATAAAACTGCAAAACTAAAAAAGTGTCACAAAATGTTTTTGCTCAAGCACAACTGTTAATAATAAATGGCATTTAAAAGCACATGCAGAGTTTAGATGCAAAAACCTCTGCTGTCTGAAATTGGATTCTAAAATGACATATTTTTAAGGCTCCTGTGTGTATGTTGAGTAATTTCACTTTTACTGCGATGAATAGGTTATTTTAATTGCATTTAAAGTGACATAACTAAACAAACATAGGAGCTGGAAAAAAAATAGAAGATTTCAGACGACACAAAGGTTTTTGCATCTGAACTCTTTAATATTTAACTTTTACAAATATTAAATATGGGTGATAATGTAGTAGTTTACTATTTATATATAAACCATTTGAGGCCACCATTGCTAGCATATGGTTGAAAACAAGATTTGTGCAACTGGACTTTTGACTCAAAACCTTGGGTTACTACTGACAGCTCTTCTGACAATTCCATCATGTGACACGTTTCCCAGGTCTCACAAAATGCTTAACAGATGGGTTATATTAAATAAAACAATGTTAAAATATACTATATACTGACAGTAAATAAATAAAAATAAAAATCAAGCTGTTTAAATTTATATAACAATACTCATTTAGGATTTTGTTTTTAAAATAAGCATCATATTTATTACATAATATATTATATAATTATTATTTAAAAGGACTGCTGGAATTTATTGGCACTCGATGCTGTAATTAATGATATTGCCTAAGGTATCTGCAGATGTAAGCCAATGGAGATCTATTGACAGTGCATGCACGTTCATGACACATTAACCAGCCTCTTTTGAATGCACGTCTGGGTCACTGGCACATGTTCTGACAGCGTGCAGTGATTCAGGTGGTTTTACTCTGCAGCTGAAGTAAGTAAATGTTTGTTTCACTTTTTTTTGTTTTTATCACAGCAACCAGATGTTGAAGTTGAATATTAAATAGTCTTGTGCTAATTGTAGACACAGAAAACAACATGTGTTATTTTTCTACAATTTCCGAGTGAACAGAATTGCTTAAAATCCTGAAAGGTTAGAGGGAAAAAATATTAAGAAAAAATAGTTTGCATATGGTGTTGTCTAATTAGAGGTTTAGTCATGTTTTTTCACTTTTAGTCTTGAGTTTAGAAAATGTTTTTTTAGCTATTCGAGGCATTCTGATTGCAAATGCTTGCAGTGTTTTGGAGATCATTTATTTCTTACCGCTGTAGTGAATGGTGATTGGCTGAGGTCCCAACTCCTTCATTCTCACTTGCATTCATTTCTAGAAACACAAAAATTGATTCATGATATTAGATTTAAATGCACAAAATACAGTGAAATAATTCAATAACTATTAAATACTGTACTTTTCTTAATGATCTAACTTTCTAGTTTTTATTACAATATTAAAAGTGTTTCTTTAAATATTTATCTTGCGTAACCTTAAAGTGAATGGATCACAAATTCTATCAACAATTGTACAGCATGTGTTAAATCTATTATGCAATATTTTAAAGTTCCTGTTTTATGCCTTATACATGCAGCTCTTGACTGAGCAAAACCCATAATTCAGTGTAAAGATGTCATCTGAAGATGACACAATTAGTTTCCCTGAGCTTATAAAGCTGAAACGAAATGGTGGACAACTCAGTCTGGCAGAAATACACACTTTTGTGCAAGGAGTCACAACAGGAGCCATCCAGAAAAGTCAAATTGGTAAGAAGATGATTAGAAATCCAGTGTACATTAAAGATAAGATACTATGAAAACAATTTTGGTGGATTTTTACAAATACAACTATGTTGCACCTGCATAGGCGCAATGCTAATGGCAATATGGCAGAAAGGCATGACTGATGAAGAGACCCTGGCATTGACACGAGAGATGATGAACTCTGGAGATACGTTTAAATGGCCGAATGAATGGCTTGTTTTGGACAAACACTCAACTGGTGGGGTTGGAGACAAAGTCAGCCTTCCACTCGCTCCTGCTCTGGCTGCATGTGGCTGTAAGGTATGGGACGTGCTAAAGAATAATCCATGATGTGCATTATGCAATTTTAACGCACAAGTAGAGGCAAAGTCCTGTTCACCCTCATCTATATGAGCAGTTCCAGCATTATGGATGTGATGTTTGTAGTAGAAATTCAAAACAAGTATATGTTTACATTATTTTGAAACATCTGTTTATATTAGGGCTGCGCAAAATATCGTTCCATATGCACATTTGCAATAGTCACATTGCAGGATCTGCAATGTTGATTTGGGATTGTATATTTTAGGATTATATATATATTATTATATTGAAATTATATAGCCACAGTTCAAAGTAAACAACATTTGTGGAGTTACTGCAGAGTTAACCCTAAACGGAGTAAAGGTTTATCATTTCCACATGTTTTTAAGCGCTAAGAGCATTCAGACACAGTGTTTAATAGAAAACTATTTTATTGAACTGTTTAAACAAAAAAGTCTTTGCAGTGTTAATTTAAATTCGGCTTTTTTTGTTTTCCAATTTCTATACCTGAACACGATTTGACTATACCTTGAAAACCACAAAGCACTGTTTTTTTTTTACTGTTATATATGCATATTACATTTCATGCATGATTTGTTTCCCTACAAAATCATGCCAATCGCTTGTAAATTAATAAATTGTTTCCAAACAGGGCTATTCAAATCATCTGGTGAAATCACAATATAGAACGCAGAAATACAAAATATGCAATAATACATAATAATACAAATTTGTATAATACAAAATGCCTGATTTTTCTAATATCTTTTTCTAGTAGTTTATATTTTCCAAAACAACTAACCACTTGTTGAGTTGTGGGATCAGAAAAATATCAATCTGTTAACATTTTTTATATTTTAATTATGGAAAATTAACATGCATTATGGATGTGACGAAAAAAGTATGCTAGTTTACAATATACAACATACTTTGCATAAATTCTGTGAATTAAACTGCCAAACCCCAAATAAATTATGCTAACAAAAAGGATAAGAGTTGGCTCACTATAGAACAAAAATTATTTTTTACTTTATTTTAAATTTTTGCATTTATGAGGAACAAACTGTTATGCATGTGACAGATGTGAAACTGTCACTTATGTGAATTGCTCATGTGAAATTAAAAGCACCTGTATAAAAGTGCTAAAATATTACTTTTTTTTGTTGTTGTTAATATGTGTTTAGAAGACAGACATTTAAACCATTTTAAATAATACAATGCAATACATTTTGGGTTGTTTTTCCACCAAAACTCATTCCCCATGAGGAAGCCAGGATATGTAGAGTTGTAGTATGGCACAATATAACATAGACCTAAACTATGACTTAAATGACATATGTAGTAGAAAACATGAAACATTTAAAACATTTCTTCGTTTTTGGACGCCACTATTTTAATTAACGTTAACTTAACGTTAAGTGGAAAGCGTTTGACATTAGCGAGGATTTTGCATCTTTACAAGAAAATATAATCATGCTGGTCACTATTTACCACCATTATAGACGAGTTTTTATATAAATTACTTTTATATTAGTTATTTTGTACTGGGGTAATGTACGTTAAAAATTTGATTGTTTGGTTTACCTGTAGCCGTGCGTCGTCTCTACTAATGGAAGTCGCGTTTTTGTTTGACACTTTACAAAAACATCGATGCTTCGTCCTCTTTGCTTAAATTCAGTAGTGTTTATAAACATTACGATGATCCGGATATGTTTTGGTGAGGTTATGTCAATAATACAGTTGTATCGCGCTTCATCATTAATCGTTGGTGATTTGGTGGTTGGTGAACCACCTGTGCGTTCAACAACAGTCAAACGTACAAGCAAACCCAGCCAATCACAATCGAGTATTCTGACAGGCATCATAAATTAAGCAAAACATTCTCTTCTCTGACTGTTTTTACCGTCAACCAAGATAATGTATAACGTTAGCTGAGGTAGAATTATTTAAGACATAAGTGCATATTGTTTTATTGGATAATGTATATTTTAGGTGCCCATGATAAGCGGGAGAGGACTGGCACATACAGGTGGCACACTGGACAAACTGGAGTCTATCCCTGGGTTTAACGTCAATCAGTCGGTTCAACAGGTAATGATGAGAGATAAAATACCCTATATATCAAGTGATTAATTTTGGTATACTAACTATCCGACTAGTAAAAAAAAGGTTCAAATAATTTCATCCTTCGGCGTAATCCCTTTATTCATCAGGGGTCCCCCCAGCGGAATGAACCGCCAACTTATCTATCATATGTTTTACACAGACAGCGGATAACCTTCCAACTGCAACCCAGCACTGGGAAAGTTCAAAAATTTTATTCTCTGATTAAAATATCACAGTTTATACAGACATAACTATTACAATAATAACAACCAAATACATATTAAATTATTACATATTAAATGTTTAAAATGTAAGTCATTTATTGCAGTTATTTGCTATAAATTCAAAGTACTTTCAATATGACTGCAAAAATGAACCAAGTCATTAGTAGCAAGTAGGCTACTAACATAATCTGCTGATTTTATCCACCCAGTCTAAATCCTGTATGTTTATTTAATGCAATGATATTTAATTTCTTTTAAATTAATTTTAAAATTAATTAATTTCACATTTTTTTGTTGACTTTAATGCTTTTAAAGCTTTTTTTTTTTTTTTTTTGATTCATCACAGCATGACGTCTCTACCTAAATCAGACATACGGCATACACAGTATTTCCCAAAACACTTACTTTTGCTTTAATACTTGACAAAACTCAGTTCATGTAGGGCTGCAGAGTTTATACCAACCTGTAGATTTAAAAACAAATGCAGGACTCACTCATTTAGCTTGATCAGGTGTGTTTAGTCATTCATTTATTTTCTTTTTTGGCTTAGTCCCTTTATTAATCAGGGGTCGCCACAGCGGAATGAACCGCCTACTTATCCAGCATATGTTTTACACAGTGAATGCCCATCCCTGGGAAACATCCATACACACTCATTCACAACGCACAATTTAGCTGACCTAATTCACCTATAGCCCTTGTTTTTGGACTTGTGGGGGAAACCGGAGCACCCGGAGGAAACCCACACAAATACGGGGAGAATATGCAAACTCCACACTGTTCCAGCTGGGACTTGAACAAGCGACCTTCTTGCTGTAAAGAGACTGACAATTCACCTATAGACATGCGCTATAGGTGAATTGAATAAACTAAATCGGCCGTAGTGTATGAGTGTGTGTGTTAATGTGAGAGTGTATGGGTGTTTTTGCATAAAACATAAGCTGGATAAGTTGCTGGTTCATTCCACTGTGGTGACCGCTGATAAATAAAGGACTAAGCCGAAAAGAAAATGAATGAATATCTTCATTCTTAAAACAGTCCTTTTTAAAAACACTAATAAACACAGCCAATATAATTTATTTTCATCATTCATTATTTGATTGATCCTGCTTAAATGAATTCCAGGTCAAGCAGATCCTAGAGGATGTAGGCTGTTGCATTGTCGGCCAGACAGAGAGCCTTGTGCCAGCAGATCGTGTTCTCTACGCCATCAGAGACGCCACTTCCACTGTTGATAGCCTTCCTCTTATCACAAGTAAGATTAATCTGGACAGACTGTGATAGCCGTGTTATTTCTGGTAATGATTTTTGTCCATGCTCTGCTCAGGCTCCATCATCTCCAAGAAAGGAGCTGAAGGTCTGAGTGCTCTTGTGTTAGATGTGAAGTTTGGCAGAGCTGCTCTGTATAAAGATCTGGACAGAGCTCGCAGTCTCGCTCAGTGTCTGGTAAGAGGGCTTTTATTCAAGAGAGAAATAAAAATAACATTGTGTCACTATAAAAAATATTTGTTAATTTAATTTTCATATTTTGTGATTCACGGGTGTTTTCCATTTCTTTATGGATGTGAATTGCATTATGGGAAGTTGATCTCTGCTCTGTTGACTTTTGATGTTGACAATAGAACTCTACACTGCAAAAAATGCTTTTCTTACTAAGATTTTTTGTCTTGTTTCTAGTCCAAATATCTAAAAATTCCTAAATCAATAAGATGTTTCTACAAAAGCACAACATATTGTCTTGTTTTGAGAAATAATATGCCAATATTAAGTGAGTTTTCCCTTAAAACAAGCAAAATAATCTGTCAATGGGGTGAGCAAAATAATCTTACGTCAAAAGAAAAAACAAGATTAATTTGCTTACCACATTGGCAGATTATTTAGCTTGTTTTAAAGAAAAACTCACTTAATATTGGTATATTATTTCTCAAAACAAGACGATATGTTTTGCTTGTCAAGAAAACTCTTCTTGATATAAGAAACTTTAAATATTTAGACTAGAAACAAGACAAAAAATCTAAACAAGAAAAGCTTTTTTTGCAGTGTATAGTTTACCAAGTGACTTTTATTGACATTTTAGTAATAAAGGTATAAAGTAATATAATGTATAACAGATGATATATAGAAAAATGAGTCAGTAAAATAAGAGAAAATGCACTGGCAGTTTATCACAAGGTTTTTGTATCGTAATATACAACACCAAACCCACACAATATTTCACTTTAACCCATTAAAAATGTTAATAATAGGCACTTTTCCGAACTTTTCAAGGTTAAAGGTTGTTGAAAGAAAGATCGAGGTCCCAAAATGCAATTCAAAAGCATAAATAAATTGGGGGGAAAAATAAAAAAATACGGATAATTTATGGTTATATTTTAGTGTGATGAGATGGATTAAAACACCATCTGGTCACATAAATGGGAATGTGTCTAATTTCCCTACTTGCAAACAAGTCAACCAAAAAGTCAACCAAAAACAGAGTTCATGTCTCAACAGGTCACTGCCGGGAACGAGTTAGGTATAAAAACAGGGGCCGTGTTGAGCCGAATGGACGCTCCCATTGGCCAGACTGTGGGAAATGCAGTTGAGGTGTGTGAAGCACTTGAGTGCCTCAAAGGAAGAGGCCCAGATGATCTCAGAGAACTAGTCACCAATTTAGGTAAGGGAAAAGACCCATCTACACCAAAGTCCCTTTAAGGCAAGTCATTTCGTTCAGTGGCTATCTTTGAAACGCCTCTCAGGCTTACTGTCTGAATGGGGAGACATCAAATTCTCCAAAATTGTTTGCCATTGAATGAATTGTGTGGAATCCAGCACTTACTACAGTGTAAAAGTAAGTGTGTTATATTTAGGTGGGCATCTATTGTGGATGTGTGGCCACTCTTCAACTCTGGAGAATGGGAAACATGAAATCGCTGTTAAACTGAAGAACGGAGAAGCCCTGAATAAGTTCCAGGCGATGCTGGAGGCTCAGGGGGTGACTGCAGATGTGGCCCGTTCCCTGTGCTCGGACGAGAGTCGCTACTTTGAGTATATGAAGCGTGCGGCGAATCAGACAGAGCTTAAGGTGCCGAAGGATGGTAATTACATTTCGTGTTCTCATTTGAAAATCAAATATGTTAATTTCTTTATGTAACTCTAACAGCACAGGCAGGATTATACACAGATCTCACCGAGCTCGCTATTAATATTCACTGTTATTCATCTATATGCAATCATCACATCCATTATCTCTGCAGCAGCCATTGTGTGTGTGTGTGTGTATGTGTGAACTGTTTGATTGACAGGAGCTGTTTTGGACATGGATGGTTTGGCTCTGGCTGAAGTGCTGCACAAACTAGGAGCAGGACGTACTAAATCAGGAGAGAAAATCGACCATAGTGTTGGAGCAGAGATGCTGGTTGAGATGGGACAGCTGGTGCAGAAAGGTTAGTCTCAATGATAGCGATGCATGGCTGTGCTTGGAAGGAAAACTGAACATACTGGCTACTATTTTAAAAACAAACACTTTCTGGGCTACAGTAAAAGTCATGTGACCTTAACACATGGCTTGTTTACTTGATGAACTCATTGCCAGCAGATATCATCTGAGAAATTAAATGTTGTTGTGAATTAAAAAGGACCAGAACCAGTTTATTAGCATTTCTGCTTTTAAGTTACTTAAAGTTTTATTTTAGAAATTTTGATAAAAATTGCTTTGTCCTCCAGTCCTACAAAATAATGTCCTGACTGATAATTATTTTGTTTCAGGCTCTTAAATTGCATGTCAACTGGAGGCCAAAGTGCATTGTGGGATGGATATACAGTGCTCAGCATGATGGAGTACACTCCATTTTAAAAATGAATATTTTTCTCCATTTCTCAGTGAATATAGGCAATGTTTTTAGGTGCATTTAAACAAAACCGACTTATTAAAAAGATGTATTTATTAAAATAATATTTTAATCGGCAAACATATTTACAAATTTAAAGATAATACAATTCAAGTCAAATATTGCAAAAATAATTATAACCTACAAACTTTCAACTAAAATTTTAACTATTTTGCTTCTCTTGATTTTTCCTCTTTTTAAAATTTGTCTTTAATATTTTTCTCCAACATTAGACATCTAACGTTATTGTGAGTTATTTTGTTAGATAAGCTCCAGATTTGGCTTCAGTATTAGTACTAACTAATCTAACTAATATGCACAAATATAATATTGTATAGCTTCCTATTAAAATATGAATTTAAAAGATAGATTTGTGAGAGTTGTACTTATATATGCTGAACACATTTTTCCACATAATTTAGAAATTATTTTATTAGAATGAAAATAAATAGTCATAATTGTAGACTTTTAAATTATATTTAAAAAGGTCATTATATTGAGGTCATATATCTTTTTTTGGGGGGGGGGGGGGGGGGGTACTGTTTATATTGTAAAATTCTGTTTTTATTTTATGGGTTTATATCTTGGAATTCAGCTTTTAAGCAATAGAGTTTATATATTACAATTCTGACTTCATTTCTTGGCAATCTAAGTTTATATCTAGTAACCCAGAATTTATATTTGAATTTATAATTTACATTTCGATATTATAGCTCACAATTGTGAATCAGAATTGCAGGAAATGAAGTCACAACTGTGAATTTTAAACTTGTTGATTATACTTAAAAAGGTAAAAATATATAATTTTGGTGATTTATAAGTTTGAGTTTATATATTGAAACTTATTTTTTGGTGATTCTAGGTTTATTCTTGCAATAGTTTTTTGCATTGTTATTTCTTGCGGTCACATTTGTATATTACAATTACAACTTTATTTCTTGGCATTCTGTGTTTATAGCAATTCAGAATTTATATTTTTACATTTTAACTATTTTGTGCAATTTCAATTTTATAGCTCACAATTTTGCATCAGAACTGTTTGAAATGAAGTCAGAATTGTGAATTTTAAACTTGTAAATATCTAAAAAGGGGAAGAAATGGTCTTTCTGACTTTAATTTTTGATGATACTTATTTTATGGTGATTTTAGGTTTATATCTTGCCAATTATTTCTTGAACTGCATTTATATATTACAATTGTGACTATTTCTTGGCATCCTGCATTTATATCTAGCAATTCATAATAAATATTGTTCAACTTTTACTTTATTCTTTGGCATTTTAATTTTTTTTTTACCTATTAACATCATTCAATTCTGAATCATTGCTACCTTTCCCATAATGTAGGATGATTCTACACAAAACATTGTTTCCAAAACCAAAAGGTCATAATTGATATATATATAATTTTATATATTAATAAATGCAATTGTAGAATAATTCAATGTGTTGTAAAATACACCACCAACTACTCTACCATAGTTATATAGCCTATATTTTTGTGTAGTGTTTGTGTTTAAGCCCAATCGGTCTATTAATACTCCATTTATCCAATTGGCAGGTCAAACGTGGATCAGGATTCACCACAGCAGCGTAGATCTGAGTGCACAGCAGCGTTCTGACCTGCAGAAAGCTTTGGTCATTGGCCGCCAAGACCAATACAAAGCTGCATCTCGTATAGTAGAATTCATCCACCCAAATCACCACATGTCCTAACACAACCTCATTCAAGACTTTTGTTTGTGAAAAACATTTCACTTTCAGTGTACTGTTACCAAGAATCTGCATTGTTTATATGACTTTGATGAGCAACGGTGACCTTTGAGCTCACATCTGGAAAATCGTTAAACATATTTGCTTACCAGTAGCTGCAGTATTATTGTCGCCTAGGTCTGCTTTAATCCTGTCCTGGAGCTGCAAAGACGAACAGATCTAATCCAAATCACCCAAACTAAAAGATCAAGGCCTTCAGGTTGAATGTGTAAATTGCATCCAGGTGCGTTTGTTTGGACCTTAGCAGGAAGGTGGATCTGCTGGAGCAGGACTGAGTTTATATTCACACAGATATATAAAACACTAACCTTAAAAGACGTTTGTGTAGTGTACATGATGATAACCAAGGATATTTATAAGCTTTCAAATGAATTGCAAGAAAATAAAAAAAGTTCAGATTCTACTATGGGATTTTTGTCTGGACTTTATCATTTTTGTGGTGTATTAAACAGTGTAAAACCCAAAAAGTTAAGGTAACTTAAACCGTTTGAGGAAACCGATTGCAACAAACCATTTAAGTTCAAAAACTAATCCTAATGAGTACTGTGAACTTAAGAAAACTCAAACCAACTGAGTACTGTAAAACCCAATAAGGCAACTCAAATGGTTTGTAGCAATTGGTTTCCTCAAACAGTTTGAGTTAAAAAACTAATCTATAGGAGTAGTGTAAACTTACTCCATTAAGGTAGAAGTAATGAGGCTTTAATTAACTCATTACCTTCAACACTGAGTTCAAAACTCTTTTCAAATGAGTAGAACTAACTTTCAGTCTATTTTGAGTTAGTACACTCATTTCATTTGATAAAGTTGACTGTTGGATGTTAGAGTGTAAGAGTTTAATTGTTAATGTATCAGTTCAGTCTTTTGTTCAGTTTTTAATCAAATCTACTAATTATAATCATGACTTTACTATTGAAAATTGATTAATATATATATATATTTTTATCATTAAATGAAGTTGGAGGGTAGAGTGATCTTTGCTGCCACATAGTGGTTTAAACAATATTTATTATTGAAGTGTTTTTAAACTGTAACGTAATTTAAGTATTTAAATTTTTGTCATAATTTGCAAATTCTAGATAATAATAAAGGCAACACGATTTTTTCTTCATTGTGAAATTATTTTCCTAATTAAATATTAATTCTTCTGAACGTGAACAGACATTTATATAAGCCTTATATAATCATTTGTATATTTCATAATTATAAACTTTTTAATAAAATACTTGCAATATATAACTATACTATTTTATCCATATTAAATAGATATATACTTGTAAAATAACCCCATTGTGAAACATTTTCCTAATTAAATATTCATTCCTCTGAATGTGAACAGAAATTTATATAATCTTTTATATTATTTTTTATTATATATATATATATATATATATATATATATATATATATATATATATATATATATATATATATATATATATATATATATATATGTGTGTGTGTGTGAGTGTGTGTGTGTATTTATTTTTAAATACATGATTAATACAATATTGCACATTATTATATACAATTACTAAATTTAAATAACTGATACAAATTATTTACAAAAATATACACTTATATTAATGTCTTTTTTCGTCATTTTTACGATACTGCAACGAGCTTTTCTTTGTGAGAAATAAGCTAAATCGTCATGAATGCAATAAAACAAAATGGGCTTTAAATGCTTTTCAATTTCTTTATGTAATACGGAAATTTCTTTTGACTTTTGGGTGATAAAATAGGCATTTTGGAGATGAACCTAATCTTACTTTTACTGTTAATTTATTACTTTTTTTGTTTTTGACTGAGAATTATCCAGAAAATGGATACTTACCAATATTTTCCCCTTCATACAAGTTTTTAAAAAATTTAAAATCTTGATTTATCACTTTTTGTTTTATTATTTCAACACCCGTAAAAAACAAAACAAACAAAAAACAAATATGCATTCAGTCTTTTTCAAGATTAAAAAAGCAGTTAATATTGCTGCTTATAGATGTCTGCAGATTTCCTAGGGAAGGTTTTCAACTGGATCAAAATGAAATTTTCTGTCCATCAATGCACCACAGAATTGAGCGGTTCTGCTCTTATGTTTCCAAGATCCAGCGCAGAATCGGTTTCTTCATCAATCTCACCGATCACAGCCCTTAAACACAAAATAATTTCCCATTTATGTCAACCAAATAAAAGAAAAAAATCATAAACCTTGCACTGTTCTGTACAACATAAACATAATTACAAGAAAGGAGTTTATAACTCACACATTATCTCCTCTGACAATATACAGTCCCAGAACCACCTGCTCGACCCCCTGTGAGGAGCTGAAGACCCGCTCGTGGCTTTCATCCAGGATGAGGTTGATTGCCTGATCAAAGCCTTTTAGCGTCCCCTAAAAACAACACAAGTCAATAAGCGATCTTCTTCATTTCTGCACACAGACAATGATTAATTGGTAAGTTCACCAAAAAACACAGATTTTAATATTAATTTATTCACACTCAGGCTATTCACAATCTAGGAGACTTTTCTCCTCAGTTAAACATAAAAAACATTTCAACAAAACAAAAATACAAATGAAAAATATTTGTCGGAGCTGTGAGTTACAAGTGATAATGTTTAGATTTTCCTAATACAGTCAAACACTCCCAAAGTGTCATTGACTTGCACTTTATTAAACACAAAGGTGGATAACTCCCTTTAAAGTACACGAGGAAGACTCACCACGATCATTCTGCCATCCGAAGTGACAATAGCAACAGTCCCTTGAAAAAAATCACAGTCAAGGAAATTTCAAGCTCATTCTATGCAAGTATGTTCACTCACTGTGTATATTTGTTCTCTGGATTTGTGTTTATATAGTACACATAATGTGTGTTCAAAATGTCTATTAAGTATTTTATTCATTGACTGATTCATATTATCTATCTATCTATCTATCTATCTATCTATCTATCTATCTATCTATCTATCTATCTATCTACATGAATACAAATGGTCATGGTCAAGAAATTAAAACTTTTCTAGATTGTTTTACATATATAGATTATATTTATATACAGATTAACATGAATACGAACAATCAAATATACTTATTTTTTAAGAAATATTTAAGAAATGAAAATGTTTCTAGATTGTTTTACATTTCTAAATTATATTTATTTATAGATTAACATGAATAAAAACAGTCAAATATGCTTACTTTAAACCAAAAATTAAGAAAGTTTTCTAGATTGTTTTACATATATGTATTATATCTATAGATTAACAAATTCAAACAGTCAAATAAACTTATTTTTACCGCAATTTTAAGAAATTAAAACGTTTCTAGGTTGTTTTACATAGATTATATTTATATATAGATTAACAAATACAAAGAGTCATATATAATTACTTTTAACTAAAATTTAACAAATGAAAACTTTTTCAGATTGTTTTACTTATATGGATTGCATCTATATGTAGACTAACATAAATGCAAATGGTCAAATATACTTAATTTTATGCAAAATTTAAGAAATAAAAACTTTTCTACATTGTTTTACATATATGGATTACATCTATATATAGATTAACATGAATACAAATAATCAAATATACTTATTTTTACGAAATATTTCAGAAATTAAAACCTTTGTAGATTGTTTTACATTTATAAATTAGATTATATGTATTTATAGATTAACATGAATGCAAACGGTCAAATATACTTATATCCAAAATGTAAATTTTTTTTTTTTACTTTTCTAGATTGTTTTACATACATAAATTATATCTATATAGATTAACATGAATACAAACAGTCAAATATACTTATTTCTACCCGATATGCAAGATGTGAACACATTAATATGTAATATTTACAGTAAATAGTAATATTCCAGTTATATGATATGTCTTAATTAAACATTTGAAGACTCGTTTTCATTGGTCCAGAAAAAAAAACTCAAATATTTGACAAAAAACAGGCATCTATGAAGTTAATATCACATCCAGATAACCGATAATCATCTTGAACTGATCTATTTTGCTCAAGAAATGTATGTGCGTACATTAATATGCTATAACGTGAATTATAACGACGTATGATCATCAAAAGCTAATTCACTTGCTGGCGCGCCATATATATAAAGTTAGACATTTCACGCTCAAACACACACAATCAACAACAAAACACGGGGTATCGATCAACAACATCACCGCCGTGCTGTTCACGATGCGTATTAAAGGATACGGTGAATGTAACTCTCGAGAGCGGTGGACATCTTTTCTGCTGGTGCGTGTTTTTAAATCCTCCGGTGCTCGTTCGCTAGCTACTACAACGAAAAGCATTCGTTCTTGAGCCGGAAGCGATAACGGAGAGACTCGAGTAGGCGATGACCGATTGAGCACAACTTCAGGCAGAACTAATGGAGTTGGAGCAACGAAAGCTGTCATGAGTGAATTAGTATTTATTTAATAAGCTTTAAATAACTAGTACGCGACAATAGAACACACATTTTAATGCCAGGGATGATAGAAGATAAATATAGTAAGAGTACAAATAATTAAACATTAATTAAGAAGCAAAACAAACACACGTACATAAAAATAAGCGTATAAATTATTAAATAGATTTCTTACAATTACACACGTTTACATCAATCAAAACTGTTAAAAATAGACCACAAATGGACAGTGTTAATGAAGTTAATTTTATAGTTTAAACAAATTAATGTGAAATTTAGCCGTCGTGAGGGAGTGATGCGGTATTTGTCCAGCAGATGACGCGCTCTGGAGTTTTCTGGTTTCTAAGGAAGAGAGCACAATACTGTTTCTAACGAGTAACTTTAGAGATTATAATCAGTTCTTGCTGAAAAGGCTAACTGTTTGAGGGTCAAAGTGGGGGTCGATGGAAACACTGGTGGTAATGATGACGACGGCACTTACACAAAAGTACAATCAATGGTTGTGGGATGATTTCAGACGCTAATTGTAATTGTACATCGCCATTATGGGAATTAATGCTTATTGAACTTTATAAAAGTGCTGTAGTGGTTAAAAATAGTTGTTATACGGTGTTTTGCTACACACTAGCATGGAAAAAATAATTAAAACTTGTTAATATTCGTAAGGTACTGAATGTTTAATAAATTTGATGGAATTGTATGGTGGTTCTGGAATTACGTTGCTATTACATCAGAATCAGGGACTGACTTAACCAATGATGTAATGTAATGTGTATTTATATTATAGATCTTACACCAAGAGCGCTTCACAATCATGAGGGGGGTCTCTCCACACCACCACCAGTGTGCAGCATCCACATGATGATGTGATGGCAGCCACAGGACCACAGAGCCAGTGCGGACACCACACACCAGGTACTGGTGGAGAGACAGTGATAGAGCCAATTCGGTGGATGGGGATGATTGGGAGGCCAGGCCATGATGGGTAAGTGCCAATGGAGGGAATATGGCCAGGACACTAGGGTTACACCCCTACTCTTTACGAGAAGTGCCATGGGATTTTTATTGACCACAGAGAATCAAGACCTGGGTTTAACTTCTCATCTGAAAGATGAAGCAAGCAACCGCTTAGGACCCCAAGAAATTTGGGGGCCCTCAATAATTGCCCACACTGTAAAACGTTTCACATTGGTTAAACTTACAAACTCAAGTTCAGCAGCTGCCTTGAAAATGTGAGGCAACAACTTAGAGAGATTCTTTGTTTCAATGTAAGATGTTGAGTTTTAGTTAAATATATTGTAAAACTCAACATCTTAAGAATCTCTCCAAGTTGAGTTGACTCACATTTTCAAGGCAGCTGCTGAACTTGAGTTTGTAAGTTTAACCAAGTGAAACGTTTTTACAGAAGCGTAAATCATATTTTGAATGGTGATGGTGTAATAAATAAGATTTTAACGTAATTATACCATCTACACAGATTTGTTTTACACACCTAATCATAGAGCAGTCCACCAGTCAAGATAAAGATTCAGTTTCAGAAACAATTTATTATTTTTTATTTATTATTTTTGTTGTTGTTGTGAATTCATTTTAAGAAAACAAATCATTTAAAATATAGCAGGGATGCGCAAACATTTTCTTATGGAGGGCTAAAAGCCAAACTTGATTGAGGATGGTGGGCCGAGGGTAAATGTAGAAAACTTTATTCTAATAAAGTTGCCATTGGTGATTTCCTTCTTTAATATAAAAATAACTGAAACATAAAATTTTCATTTAATATAAAAAAATAACTGGAAAACATTAATTTATGTTAACTAATGCATTATATATCTTTTAATATAATAATGAACTTATTATAGTAAAAACAATCTCGTTCATAACAGAATGGACTCTTGTCAAGCTGCTCCTGTTTTTGCCTTGATTTGCTTGCCGATGTCTGCTGCATTGTCCCTTTTCTGTTGAGTGACTGTATTTTTATAATTTTAAAAAATCTAATTAACAGACATGTAATCGAAGCATTTAATTTACTTTAATGCTATTTAATAACATTTAAAAACCTTTTTGTAGCTCAGCAATAAAACAAACAAACAAACAAACAAACAAAAAAGGTTATGTTACATTAAAAATGACGATCTCTGTTAAAAGCATTCGCTTCAAATCTTCCCAGCATTCTCACTCTCTTCTCAGATATGAGGGTGGGCCAAATCAAAGATTACAATGGGCCAACTTTCACAAAAAGGCCCTAGTTTGAGCATCTCTGATGTAGAGATTTTATTAAGATAAAACATGAAAAAGGAGATTCAGTGATATAATAAAAAAACAGCAAAATAAAGAAATAAAAAATGTATAAAACCAATGCATTAAAAAAAATGATGTCTGCAAAATTGTAGCTAATAATTTATAAGGGTTGAATTTAATCAAACAAATTAAGTTTAGTAATGTTCAATTAAATTTGTTTGTTTAAATTCAACCCAAATAAATTGTTTACAACCACTTAACTTAAATTAATTTAGTAAATCCAAGGAATTATCTTTGAATATTTTTTTTTCAGTGTGGTTTCGGTTTAGGACTGTTAGGCCCCATGGCTGGAACTGCTTAGGGCCCCCAAATCACAAAATCTGCCCCTGATCAGAATGCATACTATGGTTTTATCCCTATATTAAAAAAAATAAATTAAAACAAATGTAAAAATAAAAGTAAAAATAAAAAAACACAATACCCTCTAACAAATATTAATCATGGGGTTAGTATAGTAAAAGTGTAGTAATATACACACAACATTTCAGAAAGAATCACATCCTACTCCCCCCTACCATCTCTATCTATCTATCTATCTATCTATCTATCTATCTATCTATCTATCTATCTATCTATCTGTCTGTCTGTCTGTCTGTCTGTCTGTCTGTCTGTCTGTCTGTCTGTCTGTCTGTCTGTCTGTCTGTCTGTCTGTCTGTCTGTCTGTCTGTCTGTCTGTCTGTCTGTCTGTCCGTCCGTCCGTCCGTCCTCCCCCCACCATCTCTATCTATCTATCTATCTATCTGTCTGTCTGTCTGTCTGTCTGTCTGTCTGTCCAATATATAAATAGAGGGTTAGTAATAGATATATTCTGGATACCATATATAGATTTTACTTTGTTTTCTCTGTGGTTAAACCATGGTTCATTTTCTTAAGGGGCCACAACCAGTCCAAACAACGATAATCAAAACAAACAAACCACTGCACGAGAATAACGAAAGGAAATAAACAAGATGATAATTTTTCACATTCTGAGCGCTGTCAAAACCCCTCATCAAGACACAAAACACCAGGCACTTACTGGTGTACAGCACGACGCAACTGATTGTTAAAGTTAATCATTGCTGTTGTTATGAGGAAGTGAACTTTAAGCCTGAGACGCATTAGAAGAGTCTCCAGGAAACCATTATGTACATATAAAACACACACATGAAGAAGAGAATGTATGAATGAAATGAAACAACCACAGACTGTTATCATACCATATTTGGATAAATAACAGGAGAAACTGGTCTGGCAACACAGGTAATTCAAACCTTCACTTTTCACAAAGTGGCATTTAAGCAACAGACAGGTTGTTTTGATGAGTTAATCTTCATTTAGTTTTTATTTTTTTTTATGTGTAAAGACATTCGACCTTGTAACTTTCTAAACAGTCTTTCTTCTTTTTTTAAAGTCTTCAGATTTTTTTATATATATATATGTGAAGCAGTGAAGGCAAGATGAAAACAGACGACAAACTTCAGATCCTGAAATTCTTCTTTATGCTTGTCAATGCCTTCTTTGTGGTAAGATGAAATATGTAACATATTAAGCATACAGCTGTATGTTATTGGCAAGGAATGTAGCGATATTTTCTTTATTAGTTCCAAGGAACTTCCTGGACCGCTGTCAAATTTATTAATCACGCAGTGGACACTGATATCAAGCTCATAATGCCTTGAAGTATTTGCTTGTGCTTTCTGGCACGCAGCATTTAAAGGCATAGACTTCTGCACCCGTCAAATTAAACAACTTAATTCATGCATAGCTACATGTACAAACAAGTAACAAATTTAATATTCCTGACAGATTCTTGGCATCAGCATTTTTGCCTGTTCGGCTTGGATTTTATTTGATAAGGACAGCTTTGTAAGTGTTCTCAGCTCTGGTGAGTTTTCTTGTTTGTGGTAGACTATCATGTTTCTGTTCAAAAGTACATCCTTTTATTTGTTTTAAAAAGTTTTTGGACGTGATGTTTCCTCCCATTAAAAATGTCTATGGGTGATGAACTGGGATTTTTTTTTAACATAGGCAAAGGACGATAACTGGTTTAACGCTGTTTGGGAAAGTCAAGGTTTTAAAACCGACAGAATTTTCTGGTATACCATTTCTAGTTGCAATCAGATTTATTAACCCCCCTCTGATTTTGTTTCTTTTTTTGAATATTTTCCAAATGATGTTTAACAGAGAAAGGAAATTTTCACAGTATGTCTGATAATATTTTTTCTTCTGGAGAAAGTCTTATTTGTTTTATTTCGGCTAGAATAAAAGCAGTTTTTAATTTTTTAAACACCATTTTAAGGACAAAATTATTAGCCCCTTTAAGCTATAGTTTTTCGATAGTCTACAGAACAAACCATCGTTATACAATAACTTGCCTAATTACCCCCTAACCTGCCTAGTTAACCTAATTAATCAAGTTAGGCCTTTAAATGTCACTTTAAGCTGTATAGAAGTGTCTTGAAAAATATCTATTAAAATATTATTTACTGTCATCATGGCAAAGACAAAATTAATCAGTTATTAAAAATGAGTTATTAAAACTATTATGTTTAGAAATAGGTTGAAAAATTGAGCACCCTTTATCTTGCTGTATGTGTATTTATATAATTGAATGTTTATCTTTACTGTAAAATATACAGTCATATTCACAATGCATCTTTAAAATACAGTAACATACTGCATTACTGTCCTACAGTAAAATACACAGCATATTACAGTTCAATACGGTGTCATTTACAGAATTTATTAGCAGTGTGTGTTTCACTACATGGTGATGGAACTTTTTTTATTAACATTTTGACATTATCATTGCAAAAATGATTTGAAACTTTTAGGTAGACACTATACTTGCATTTAATATGCTTTCTATGCAAATAAAAATTGGATTCAGACTTTGAAACAGGACGTCTCATGTTTCACCCCTAAACTAATTTGCTTGGAGCCAATTTAAAGCAAACTTTTGTCCTTAAATATGACGTATGGGTTTTAATGAAGCGAATCTTTTGGTCTCTTAGGACAGGAGGTTAAGGTGGTGGCCGGGGGGCTCTTTTTCATCGGCCTTGTCGTGGTTGGTGTGTCCTTGCTGGGTTGTGCCGGAGCCTATTTTGAGAGCAGATGCTTCATCATATTTGTAAGCGCAGTCCAAAATAACATAATTCATAACAAAAGCTTTTCTGAGTTGTTGTTGTTAATGTTGATCCTTTCTGTTTTTTTCAGTATCTGTCCTTTTTAATTGTCATCATACTGGGTCAGATTTTCATCACCTTTGTGCTATTAATACGAAGAAAGACGGCAAGTGTTTATTAAATATTACATTTTTTATATTTATTTCAATTCAAGTTTATTTGTTTAACGCTTTTCACAATAGTTATTGTCTCAAAGCAGCTTTACAAAGGGTGCACATTATTGCCTTACAATCAAATATAAGTTTTATTATATAAACAAAGTTAACCTGCAGTTTTATCAAGTATATTTGTCTATTTAAGCATATGTGTTGTCCTCAAAGTCTTCAGTGGTTGGTTGGCATCATCTCTCAAATTTATTTTTATTATTTTATTTATATACTTTTTAGATTTTATTTTGTTTGATTATAGTACTATAAATGCTTTTGTGGAATCAGAATTTCACTTTAATTACCATCTCGAAATTTAGACCTTTTTTTCCAAAAAAAAAATGCAGATTTATTTTTTGTAATTGTGAGTTTAGATGGTTGTGTTGCAATTTTGGGTTTATACATCACAATTATGAGTTAAGATGTCACAGTTCTGGCTTTCTGAATTTCATTTAAGCTTTATTGAAATACTGTTTCTAGCATTAAAATACCAGAAAATTACTATCATTAGTAGTTGTGAGTTTATACATAGGCTTTCTTTCAATTCTGACATTACATCTTGCACAATTTTTCTCATGATTGATAGACACAGAAATCTGATATTATCCGATAGCAGAAACTGGTACCGCTTTTCCCTTTATAAACTTTAATTAATAATAATAATTTTTAAAAAATCTGAATAAAAGTCTGAGTTGCATAGATATATAACGCCTCTTTTTTAAAATTTGTGTCACAAACAAGTCAGCAAACATTTTCAACATTAAATTATTAAATAAAATAGGCATTTAATTTTTTTTTTCAATCGCAGTTCTGGTTTTATATTTCATAATTCAGATTTTTCCTCCCAGTTTAGTCAGTTTATTATAAAATATTCAGAATAAAATTCAGAATTGTGAGATATAAATTGCCTCTTTTAAAAAGATTGTGTCAGGAACAAGTTGCCAAATATTTTCAACATTAAATAAAGAAATAAAATAGGCAATTAAAAAAAGGTATATATTTTTTTGTTTTTTAATCGCAGTTCTGAATTTATATATCATAATTCTGATTTTCCTCCCAGTTTAGTCAGTTTATCATAGAATATTCACAATAAAAGTCAGAATTGTGAGATATAAATTGCTTATTTTAAAGAAATTGTGCCAGGAACAAGATTCCAAAGATATACAACATTAAATAAAGAAATAAAAAAGACAAATACCAAAAAAATAAAGTACTTTTTTTTGTTGTTTTTAATTGTAGTTCAGAATTTTTATCTCAATTTCTAGCTTTTCCTCCCAGTTTAATCAGTTTATCGTGAAATATTCAGATACTCCTTTTTAATTCTGATTTATTTAGTCTCAATTACACCTCATCCATACAGTAACCTATAGATTGTGATATAAAGAAGCATAGCTGTGAATTTCTCTCAATTTCAACGGACTCTCTTACAATTCAGACACATTTTCTTGCAACTTCTCACTTTTTTGGTCAGAATAGCAAGATATACTCACAATTCTTCTAACAAAACCTTGAATTATAATATATAAACTCACAGTTCATAAAAAATTAGAATTGTCAGATCAAATTTGCAGTTATCTTCATTTATGTTTTATCACATGCCAGAAAAAAGCTTCCAACATTATAAATCACAATAAAGATAAAAGAAAAACTGTAGCAATTTCAGCTTCACAACTATAATAATACTGTAAAGAAAAACAAGAGATCCCTCGAGACATTCCTCATTCTCCAAGATCCTGCAAGTATTGACTGGTTGACAAAATGATTAAACAAATTGCTTAACGCACGTTTTTGACTATTTCCAGATTGAGCAGTTTTTGAGGGATAAAGTGGACGAGATCATTAAGCAGTATGGAGGAGATGAAATCCAAACATCCTGGAAACTTCTAGACAGCGTCCAGACCTCTGTACCTGATTGATTTCCACGTTTACTGATTACATAATAACTGTATAATCACAACCGTTTCATCTCATAATGAGCAAAGGAATTTGATATAAGTGCATTTTTGTTTGCTGTAGGCCCGGTGCTGTGGTAGACTAAACTCAAATGAATGGAGGAATAACACTGTTATTGCATCCCTGGGGGGGACCGACATCTACCCCTGCTCCTGTTTCAATGGTACCTGCCCTGTAATCCTGGAAGAGACCTACAGTTTTGGAAACGGTTCAGACGTTTTTGAAAGGGTAACATATGTGGCCTTTTTGATCTCAACCTTTACTTAATGTTCCCCGTGTTGTTTTAATTTGCACATGTTTTTTCCTGTGTGTGTGTGTGTGTGTGTGTGTAACAGGGCTGTGAGGAAACTCTTGTCAACTGGCTAGAGATGAATATAATAGTAATATTTGGAATGGATGTTGCACTCATTTTGATTCAGGTAAAGAGAGATAATAAAACTCAATGACCTTTTCACACATTATATGGCAAATTAAAGAATGTTACAGATTAAATACAGCTAAAATAAAGTATGACAATAAGTTTCTTCACTGTCACCCCCCCACCGATACTTTTAAAGTTTATAATGTGTCAAAAATGTGAACCAAACGCTAGACACAGCTTAACCTTACATTTGGTTTTCTTGCTAACTGTTACATACTTTGTTCAATAAAAAAAAAAAAACAATGTATGGGCTATTTGAGACAAAAGTATGAAATCGTACTCACAGTGACCAGCAGATATTAGAAAATGCGTGCTGTATCCACCAGTGATGTCCGTTCAAAGAGCCAATCACGTTTCCTTGCACATCATTTATTCGAGAACAGACTAGAATAAGCTCTGTTAAGCACATTCGATTTAAACATTCCAATAGAATAATAAATATCATGCAAATCGTACAACAAACTAAACAAATTAAGTAATCGAGCAAAAACTTTGGTATTTATTGAATCCAAGTAATTTCTAAGTAAATTCTAAGTATTTTGAATTCAATTCATATAACTTTAAGGATAACAGTGTTATATATATATATATATATATATATATATATATATATATATATATATATATATATATATATATATACACACATACAATTGTAGTCAGAATTATTAGCCCCCCTGTTTATTTTTTCACTAATTTCTGTTTAACAGAGAGCTGATTTTTTTTCAACACATTTCTAAACACAATAGGTTTAATAACTCCTCTCTAAAAACTGATTTATTTTATCTTTGCCATGATGACATTAAATATTATTTGACTAGATATTTTTCCAGATATTTCTATAAAGCTTAAAGTGACATTTAAAGGCTTAACTGGGTTAATTAAGTTAACTACGCAGGTTAGAGAAATTAGGCAAGTTACTGTTAACGATAGTTTCTTCTGTAGACTATAGAAAAAAATATATAGCTTAAAGGGGCTTATAATTTTGACCCTAAAATGTTTAAAATAAAAATATTAAATGCTTTTATTCTAGCCAAAATAAACAAATAAGACTTTCTCCAGAAGAAAAAATATCAGACATACTGTGAAAATTTCCTGAATCAGTTAAACATCATTTAGGAAATATTTAAAAAGGAAAAAAAATTCAAAGGCGTGCTAATAATTCTGACTTTAACTGATGCAGATGCAAACTATTCGGTCTTGGTTCAGAAATAATCATAACCGGTTATTATGTACTGAGCTTTCTATGGCGAGAGAGGAGATCGTGAGTAATTAAAATGCTCCAACTACTTAAAAAGCAGATAACTGTGCACAATTTACTGCTGGTGAGTTTGCTGAACAGTCTTTCACTGACAAGGAAAGACATCAGAACCCAACTAAATATATTTAGAAATTATACATTTTAATAAAAGAATTATTGTGTTGCTAAGTAAAATATCAAATTATTATATCGAATTATATCGAATTGTATGAATCGATAGCATGATAATCGAAACCGAACTGTGAGAAAAGTGTAGGTTCACACCCCTAATGTGTGTGTGTGTGTGTATGTATGTATGTATATATATATATATATATATATATATATATATATATATATATATATATATATATATATATATATATATATATATATATGTGCCTAAAGTCCACATGAACCGGATGCTGTGACCATTTTTCTTCGCATTGTGATCCAGCTTCTAGAGAAACGAAATATTAAATGAAAAGTAGTGGGCGTGGCTTGTTTTTTCGACTGCGAGCTGATTGGATCTAGTGAAGTAAGCATTTCATTCAGAAAAATCAGGAAATGGGTTTAAGGAGAGTTATTAGAACCTAGCAGAGGTTTCTTCACCATTTCTGTTTGTTGTCAAAACTGACAGTTCAAGGGGTGTGCCTAAGTATGTTAGCTATGCCCAATACCTCTGACCGATGTAATCTGAGAACTGAACTGAAATCCAACCAGAAGTGCATTTTCAGATTTCAATTAAAGATTACAAGGGCAAACAGTTATTTTTCTTAATGACGCACACAAATGAATTGTTCTCCACAAAACTGGCAATGTGAGCTAATAAAATCATATGGTTAGTTTTAGTTTGGATTTCATTTGTACTTTTGTACACATTTTAAGTTATGTATCTTCAGCTTAATGCTGTATATTTCTCTTTGTAGACACGTCGTCATCCCATGCATTTTTACTGACTTTGCTTAACTTCTGTAAATTTCTGTAATATCTTGATTTTTTTATATATATATTTATTCAGTTCAATAAATCTTTATCACTATTGCATTTTTTTACAATATAGAAGCAGCTTAACATAGATAAAGTTCTAGTAAATTGTAAATGCTTCAGTTCAAGTCACAGTTTAATTTATATACAGTTGAAGTCAAAATTATTAGCCCTCCTGTGATTTTGTCAAATGATGTTTAACAGAACAAATAATTTTTCATAGTATTTCCTATAATATGTTTTCTTCTGGAGAAAGTCTTATTTGTCTTATTTCGGCTAGAATAAAAGCAGTTTTTAATTCTTCGAAAACATTTTATGGTCAATATTATTAGCCCTTTTCAACTATTTATTTCGATTGTCTACTGAGCAAACCACTGGTATACAACGACTTGCCTAATTACCCTTACTAGCCTAATTAACCTAGTTAAGTCTTTAAATGTCACTTTAAGCTGTATAGAAGTCTTGAAAAATATCTAGTCAAATATTATTTACTGTCATCATAGGCAAGATAATAGAAATCAGTTATTAGAAATGAGTTTTTAAAACTATTATGTTTAGAAATGTGTTGAAAAAAAACATCCATTAAAAAGAAATTCGGGGGAAAAAATAAACAGGGGGGCTAATAAAGCTGATTTCAACTCTATATGTGCATATACAAAAAAATCACAGTCATCCAATCGAAGTGATTTGTCTTGTAATTCTCAGATTATGCAGTTTATCTTTGCCGTCCAAACCTTCAAATGCATCGGCCGCAAGACAAGAGAACTGCATCCCAGCAATCTACTAAACGCCATGGAGGAAAACCCTGCAGCAGATCCCGATCAAGAGCAGTACAGTCTAGAAAATCAGCAAATCGACGATCAAACCTATAACCCTCAAACTGATGATGGCTACTATCAACACGTCGGATATGACGGTGGGAATTATGATGACCAATACAACAACCCACAATTTTACCAGCAGGACACAAGTCAAACGCACAATACACCTGCTATTCTCCAACACAGCTACAGCGACGGCTATGATGATCAGACATACACACAACAGCAGAACTACCAACATACCTACAATCCTGTCGATTACTGAAGCCAGATTTCTTTTCTCATGTAACATGATCAGATTGGGATGGGCTAATTTGAGGGTTTAAAAATAGCATGCCATACAAAGAGCGGGCTGTGGTCTGCGCCATGACCAAAACCTTCTTCTAAGACCATTGTTTTGCTTCAGCGTGTTCAGGTTAGTATCTGTTTCCCAGGAGTGTCATTTGTCATTTTAAAAGACATTCATTCCAGACTTCAAAAACTCAAACACACATCTTTAGAAGGCACAGCTCAGGGTTTGATGACAGACAAGTAACCCGATGTTTAAGCAGGTTTTAGCAGTTTCTATTTTATTGTAATACCCCCTTGACAAGTTTACAGGTGCTGTATAAATGAATATGTAATAATAACACAAAAACACTGACCTGGAATCATAATCAATATAATGTACAGTGCCCTGCACTAAGTTTGGCACCTTTGGTAAACATGAAGAAAACGTATTTATGGTTTAAACTTGTGATCTTTAGCTCAAATTATTAGCCAAAACTGAAGATGATTGAGTTTATTTACTAGACAACCTTTGAATCTTGATGTTAGATTGTAACTTTGAAGACTTTCTTAGACTTTCTAGACCAAAATAACTCTCCAACTAATTCCCCAGCTGTGATTCTTAGATTACAACGACAGCACATGCATAATGATGTATTAATATGTAAGCTAAACAGCTACCTTTAATACTTGTTAGTTCATGTTGCTAATTAATGTATTAATTAAATTGATTTAAATTTAAGCTAAATGTAACCAACATGAACTGTTAATGTAATTATGTCATGACTTTACTTGGAGGGGTACATTATCATCATTTTATCCTTAACTCCCTCTGTTCATGTTGATGTTGACAGAACACTTTTCAGTAACACTGTCACAATACACAGTGTTAACAAACCATTAACTAACACTACTAGCTTAGTAAACTACTAATTAGTGGTTTATTAATAGTTAGTAAGACTGTAGTTGGGTTTAGGGTAGGATTAGGGACGCTGAATAAGATCATACTTTATAACTACTAATGAACAGTTAATATCTTAATAATAGGCAGGTAAAAAGGCAGTAGATAATGACATTAGTTGTGACCTAAACTAAGGTGTTAACCACTTTTCGATTGTTATTCAGTGTAAACGCACTAGACGGATGTGCATAAGGAGTTCATGTGTAGTTAAGAATGGGTCAACGATGATGTGCCCCTCCAAGTAAAGTCATGACATAGTTACGCATTAACATACAGTATCATGAGTTCATGATGGTTAAATTAAGTATAAACTAATGTGCTAATTAATACAGTAATTAAGAAACATGCACTAGCAAGTATTTAAGGTAACCATTATTCACAGATGACCTCGTGTTGTAGTTATAGTTAGTTCATGATTAGCGCATTCATTAACTCATCATTAGTTCATAATGTAATGTTTACTTTACATATTAATACATCATTGTTCATGTAGTGTTATTGTAAAGCAGTACAGACTACCAAGATTATACACATGTCCCTAATGGACGAAATGGCCATTTTAAGTGCTATTTTCTGATAACCACTACACATTTTGTGAACGCAACACCATTTTGCCACAAAAACATCTCTGTTTTTTTTTACACATTGTGATGAATGACTATTGAGTGATGAATGAGTTTGACCTGCGCATCGCCTCATCCGAACAACCCTGTGAAACAGGAGGTCATGGTTGAACAATTTACTCTCTCTTGTCACCAAGATGTAAAAAAAAGTAAACAAAACATCTAAAATATTTTGCTCATACAAATTCCAATAAAGGGCGATATGCACAGTGTTTTTCAGGAAACGGTGAAAGGTTAATGTGAATATTTTCAATTTAATAAAGTTCCTTTTACAGTATCGACATCGTAATGTAAGTTAAATACAATCAGTTGACTAAACTTAAGCATTCGTTTAGTTGCTCAAGCATAAAACGAGATGAAAGAAAATGTAAATCATAACGGCGTCAGTGGCAGCAGGCTTGCACAGAAACTCCATTAAAAATAATGGTGTAAAATAAATGTTCATATTTTAGAGATGGCAGGGAAAAATGGAATTTGATGCAGTGCTTCTTGTGCGGCCTGAGACCCACTGAGTGTTGCCAGATTGGGCGGTTTCGAGTTTGTTTTTGCGTGTAAAAAATGACAGGCGGGTAGTGAAAATTTGGGCAGTTTTGCAAGGACATAGCCCCGGTCTTCACTTGTAAACCTGTTATGATCTCCCAAAGAGATGCAATAGCCCCATTCTTTATATACAAATGCATACAACAGTTGTGATTTCCCAACGACACACAACAAGATTCCTCACCCCCCCTCAACAGGTTATTACAGTCTGCAGATTATTGGACGGTGGTTTTCTGTTTTCAGCGGGTTTTCAGCTATATCCGGCAACACTGGACCCACTTCATATTGTATATCTATCGAGCAGTGAAGATCACTGGATTTTAAAGAAATCTGATCTTAAGTCAGACAGTTGCAGCTCATCCAGAACGCTGCCGCCAGGATTCTGAACAGAATCCGAAAACCAGAGCACATCACACCTGTCCCCAGGTCTTTACACTAGCTCCCTGCTACATTCAGAATAGATTTTAAAGTATTATTACTTGCCAATAAATCACTAAATGGCCTAGGAACTCATTACATTACAGATATGTTCTCTGAATACAAACCTAACAGATCACTCAGAGTAAATAAAAAATTAAAAGCAGGGTGAATCCGCCCTCAGCTACTACGCCCCCTGCTGCCGGAATCAGCAAAATGATCAGATGTGCTACAACATTAGGCACATTCAAATCAAGACTGAAAACACATCTGTTTAGCTGTGTCACTAAGTCTTTCTTTTCTTTTTCTTCCAGTTAAAATCTGTTTTAACACACTTTAATCTGTTTTTTTAACCGTTTTTAATAATTTTAACCATTTTTGTTGTCTTGTTTCTTTTATTTTTGTTTATTTACATTTACATTTAGTCATTTAGCAGAAGCTTTTATCCAAAGCGACTTACAAATGAGGACAAGGAAGCAATTTACACAACTAAGAGCAACAATGAATAAGTGCTATAGGCAAGTTTCAGGTCTGTAAAGTCTAAGAAGGGAAGTATTAGTAGTATTAGTATTATTTTTTTTTTTGGTACAGTTAGTGTGATATTCAGAGAGGCAATTGCAGATTAGGAAGTGTAGTGGAGACTAAATAGTTGAGTTTTTAGTCGTTTCTTGAAAGTAGCGAGTGACTCTGCTGTTCTGATGCAGTTAGGGAGTTCATTCCACCAACTGGGCAGATTGAGCGTGAGCGTTCGAGAAAGTGATTTCTTCCCCCTTTGGGATGGAACCACGAGGCGACGGTCATTCACAGAACGCAAGTTTCTGGAGGGCACATAGATCTGCAGAAGCGAGAGCAGATAAGAAGGAGCAAGGCCAGAAGTCACTTTGTAGGCAAACATCAGAGCTTTGAATTTGATGCGAGCAGCAACTGGCAGCCAGTGCAAACGGACTAGTAGCGGAGTGACATGTGCTCGTTTAGGTTCATTGAAGACCACTCGTGCTGCTGCATTCTGGAGCAGTTGAAGAGGCTTGATAGAGTTAGCTGGAAGCCCAGCTAGTAGAGAGTTGCAGTAATCCAGTTTGGAGAGAACAAGAGCTTGAACAAGGAGTTGAGCTGCATGTTCAGATAAGAAGGGTCGGATCTTTCTGATGTTATAGAGTGTGAATCTGCACGATCGAGCAGTTCTAGAGATGTGGTCAGAGAAGTTTAGTTGGTCATCAATCGTTACTCCAAGGCTTTTCACCATTTTGGATGCAGTAATGGTTGCCCCATCCATCTGGATTGAAAAGTTATGGTGTAGAGTCGAGTTGGCAGAAACTACAAGCATTTCCGTATGCTTATGTAAAGTGCTTATGTAAAGCACTTTGAATTACCATTGTGTATGAAATGTGCTATATAAATAAACTTGCCTTGCTGAAATGTAATGGAAAGACAGTTCACCAGAAGCCATTTGCTGGCTGTACAAATTAAAAGTTTGTGTGCATATACCCCATTGTGTATTTAAAAAAAGAAGTTTTTCTGATATGAATTACGATCATTACATATTTAATAGAAAAAAGTCAATCAAATTATGTTGTGTTTTTTTCTGTATATTTTGAGCAAAGATCAAAAGGTTAAACAATAAGTTTTAAGTTAAACTCATATTTACCAAGTGTGCCAATAAAAATGTCAGGCAACGCAAGACAAAACTACTTGCAAAGCAAATATATTATCAAAACACTGTTATATGGCAAACATATTTATGCATATACAAATATATATAAATAAAGAATACAAATCTAACAGATTTCTATGTAAACCATATAATTACAAATAAACATTGTATATACAAAGGCTATAATTACATACATTTGATTATTACTAATCAACAATAAAACATGTAACTGTGTTTAAAACACCATTAGTCATGATTTTGCATCTCATCTGTGATGTTTGACCGATTCAAGAGGTTGTTTTGTAAATCCTTGCACACTCAGACCTGCTTTATGAGTCAAGTCTTGATGTTAGTGACACTGGAGTGTGTGAATGTATCTGTGTGTGTGTTTCGGAAGCTGAGTCGGCGAGTCAAGAGTGGGCTTTGACTGAAGTTTGATGGACGACACTCTCTATGGGCCATAAAGAGCGGCGTGTCTGTGTGAATGAGAGGGCTCTTTGTTGAGGTCGCTTTGCGGTTGATGATAGCCAGGCTGACATTACTGACCTCATGCGGTTATGAGCTGGCAGTCATGCTTTTACGACAACAGTTGACAGCGCACGCATTGATGAAGACAAAGAGAAAGTTGGGATGGAGAGGAGTTTGAGATTTCCATTGCCGGTACCTGATTCGGATCTGAATAGAGTGATGCACAATGAATCAAATCTGGGAGGGGGTTTCAGGACCGACTGGGATGTGGTGTGACCGTGACACAAACGATCTTTGATAATAGCGTAATAGGACTGATTTAGAATGCATTTCAGAGGAATTGTTTATTTAAATATGAAAATTGTGTCATTGACTCATCCTTGGGTCATTCCAGATTGATTTTGTTTCGTGAGAAGCTTTGAAGTATGTTCATGCTGCTCTTTTAATGTGGTTAAACGAGCGAAAATTCTAATAGTTTCTCGATGCATATATGCATATTGTATTTGAGGTCATACATACTGTCAGGAAAACAATATATAACTCATACTTTTAAAATACAGTAATAATTAAACTCCTTTAGTGCTTTATATGTAGTCCATATAATAACAAAAGGCAGCTTTGTGCATATTGGAACAAAGATTACCAACAAAAAAATGAACATTTACTCACTGTTTACTCTCCCTCATGTGCTTCCAAACCTTTATCTTTTTCTGTTGAACACAAAAGAAGATATTTAGAGTTGTTTTTATAAACCTGTAACCATCGACTTCCATACTTTCGTTTTTTTTTCCTGATATGGAAGTCAATGGTTACAGGTTTCTAACATCTTCCATTTAATTTCTTTTGTATTCAACAAGAAAGAAACAAGTTTAAAACTTCTGAAAGTTTTTTTTTCTTCGATATTTTGTAGTTTTGGGTGAACTGTCTCTAAGATGACATTTACTATTGTATTAGATACAAGATATCAAACCAAGTGACATCAACAAGCCTAATTTTTAAATTAACGTCACTTAATATTTTAAGTATCAATATGTTCGTCATACAGTAGTTTAAAAACTACATCTCTAAACCCAGTTTTCCTAATTATGTTCACTGTTTTACTTAAAAAGTGCGTTTGGGCTGTATTTCTTTAAGAGAGGGGTGTCAAACTCAGTTCCTGGAGGGTCGTAGCTCTGCATAGTTTAGTTCCAACTCTAATTAAACATATCTGATCATATTAAATGAATCCTTCAGGTTTGTTTGAAACCTACAGACAAGTGTTTTGAAGCAGGGTTGGAACTAAACTGTGTAGGGGTGCGGCTCTTCAGGAACAGAGTTTGACATCTCTGCTTTAAAATTTTATTTGATGCACTCAAATTCATACCGACAGTTAAAGTCAGAATTATTAGCCCTCCTGTTTATTTTTTCCCCAAAGTTCTGTTTAACGGAGAGAAGATTTTTTTTCAACCCATTTCTAAACATAATAGTTTTAATAACTCATTTCTAATAACTGATTTATTTTATCTTTGCCTTGATGACAGTAAATAATATTTTAATAGATATTTTTCAAGACACTTCTATACAACTTGACATTTATAGCCATAACTAGGTTAACTAGGCACGTTAAAGTAATTAGGCAAGTCACTGTATAACGATGGTTTGTTCTGTAGACTCTTTGAAAAAAATGTAGCTTAAAGGGGCTAATAATTTTGTCCTTAAAATGGTGTTTAAAAAATTTAAAACTGCTTTTATTCTAGCCAAAATAAAACAAATAAGACTTTCTCCAGAAGAAAAAATATTATCAGACATACTGTAATAATTTCCCTGCTCTGTTAAACATCATTTGGGAAATATTTAAAAAAGAACAAAAACAAAAGGATCAAAAGGAGGCTAATAATTCTGACTTCAACTGTAGTGTTGCTAAAATGCTTTTGTTGTACATATAGAGGCAGCATGAACATTCATCCCTTTGTCTTCAATGGAATACAGTCAGTCATGCGATATTATGGTGAGTTAATGGCTGAAGCATTTCCAATTTTGGATGAGCTACCCCTTTAACCCTTTACAGAGTGAAGAACTGTATATGCTGACTTCACTTACATTGATTACAGTATAATTAATTTGCTTAGTCCCTTTATTTATCAGGGGTCGCCACCACGGGATGAACCGCCAACTTATCCAGCATGTTTTACACAGCGGATGTCCCTCCAACTGCAACCCAG